AAAGTGATTTTTAAATAATTGATCATGAAGATCATTTACGGAAATTCTCTTTGGATGTAACTTACAGTAAACTATTCAAGGAGACATACAAAAGTAATAACTTTGTTTAAGCTGTTAAAATTATGAAGAAAGATAAGTTGCATATGGAAAAAAGAAAAGCAACTTCTGATATAATAGGAAATAGACCTTTCTATCTATGCAATCACAACTTGTTCTAATTGATAAGTTAATCACTGTACTTCATTTTTATTATCCATGTGGAGAACACTGTAACTATGGCATAAATATTTGTATTCCATTATGCAGATACTAGTTTGGCGAGTATTTGCAAAATAATTGAATTTCAGTATACAAAACATTGAAATACTGGTAGATGGTGTATTTCAAGTAAAATATTGGTTTCGCTCACACATGTTCAACTTTCATAAATTTTTTCCTAGCTGAAGTTAATGTGCGAACACAATTTCACCTTCAACAAACATTTTTTTCAACTTGAATACAAAGAAACAGAATAATTTACACAAACCACAGAAGATATTCAGGAAGTCTAACAATAAGATATCATTCTCACCCCAAATAACGCTAAAGAATCTACAACTGCTTTTGACGGCTTCCCGTGTACTGCAGGAGATAAAACAGTTGGATTCCATGAGCAGAAAAGAAATTTCAAATGAAGATAGGAATTGAATCTTAAAGAAGAAGGCATAAACATAATTATAAGAATTTGAGCTACTTACTAAATATTAAAGGCAAAAGAATCAGGCAGATAAGGGAAGCCAAGCTCACCAATAGTGAGCAACCCATTGCATTGACCCATAGACCTGTCAATGAAACCAGAGAAAAGCTCTCAGTGACAACTAAAGACACCCATCCCAGAGATCAATCAAAATGAGTCCCATATGTCGTGTGCCATTAAGAAGTTTTTTCATATATAGGAGCAATCGTGGAGTTGCATATTATGTGTTACATTGGAATTTTACAATTTTGTATATGTCGAGCAAGTTCAAGCCTTCTTGTGAATGATTTACTTAAAGCAGAACATCACGTCTTTCAGAGATCTAGAGTAATATCAATTATCGCTCTCAAAAAAAGAGTCATATCAACAATGACACTTCAAGTAAAGAGATACCCGAAAAAAGTCCAAGCAAAGAAATGTAACATCACAAAATGCATATCATCCAATCAAACACACAATTAAAACAAAGTATCTTGCATCCTGATGCAAAAATAAGCACATTTGGTTGACAGTACCTATCTATGAATCTCACAAGTCCAACAGTATGCACAAAATAAGAAAAGCCAAAATAAGTTACTGAAGTTCGCATTCTGAGTTGACTTCAAAATAACGTCATACTTGATATCCACCTTTTGATAAAAACTGTTTGGAAGACATATATCAGTGACGATTTTCATAAAGTAACAGTTTTTCAAGCTATGGCAGTGTTCAGCCCTATGTCAAAACCATGAATCACCTTTACAGCATGATATCCACCTTTTGACTAAAACTGTTTGGAAGACATATATCAGTGACGATCACATTTTCATAAAGTAACAGTTTTTCAAGCTATGGCAATGTTCAGCCCTATGTCAAAACCATGAATCACCTTTACAGCAAGATATCCACCTTTTGATTAAAACTGTTTGGAAGACATATATCAGTGACAATCAAATTTTCATAAGCAACGGTTTTTCAAGCTATGGCAGTGTGCAGTCCTATGTCAAATCCATGAATCACCGTTACAGCATGATATCCTCCTTTTGACTAAAATTGTTTGGAAGACATATATCAGTGACGATCAAATTTTCATAAAGCAACAGTTTTTCAAGCTATGGCAGTGTTCAGCCCTATGTCAAAACCATGAATCACATTTACAGCATGATATCCACCTTTTGACTAAAACTGTTTGGAAGACATATATCAGTGACGATCAATTTTTCATAAAGCAACAGTTTTTCAAGCTATGGCAGTGTTCATCCCAATGTCAAAGCCGCGAATCACCTTTACAGCAGACGTGATCCATTTCCATTGTCACCTTCTTTTCAATTGAAATAATAGCTAAGAAAATTTGTCCTACCATACGAAGAGAAAAACCTTATCCACTCATTCAATACCTCTCCCATTTCAAATTGTGGCTGATAATAGCCTTTACAGGACAATACAGGTGGTACAAGCAACCTCTTCTGGTATTGGGAAAATAACATCCTTTTGCAACAAACTCATAAAGATATTTGCTTTCAATATTAAATATGAGAAAAAGTGGTCTTTAGCCCTTTTAAAAAAGAAATTAAGCAATACCAAATAACCTGCCAAAATCCAACAACAACTACCTCAATCCTAAGCTTGGTGTCAGTTCTATGAATCTTCACTATTCATTTCACTCCATTTTGACCCTTACATTCCACAATTCAACAGTTTGGGGTATGCTTAAGTCCAAAGCACAAATCAAAACGACATAAATAAGCACTAATATATAATACGATAAGCCACAGTTTACAGTGAGCTAAAAACTCAAAAGGGGTTCCAAGATTCAGCTTGAATTTTTCAAAAGGAACAAACTTTACCAAGACCAGTAAGATCCTTGACTCCATGTCCATCATGATGATGATGATGTTCATCCATATTACCATGAGACCCAAATCCATACAGTTTCAGATCCTCCTCTTCAGCCAATTCCTCTAAAAGCTTCCTCTGGTCAACTCCACTCGACCCATGATCATGATCATGGTGATGATGATCATGATGATGATGCCCCTCATGGCCATGATGACCATGACCATGATTACACTGATGAAATTCCTGCTTGGAATCTTCTAGAACCTTCGCTTCTACAGAAGACCCAAAAATCACTACCCATAAAGAAGTAGAAACAATCAAGAAGAAGCAGATCTGTTTCACCAAAGCATCAATTTTCGACATTTTGTCAATTTGGGCAAGAACAAAATCAGGGAAAAACCCTAAATTTATGGAAGGGTAAGATGATAAGGGCGTGTTTGGATAAAGGGTATTAGAAATCAAGAAGACCGGTTCTTGCAAGTGCCTTCTATGGTGATTACACAAACAGCACAGAAGAATAGTATTATTATTCCTATTATTATGCCAAAAGTTACTACATCCATTTGTACTTAAAGGGGTCTCAAAAGTGTAAGAGTAATGGAGTTTAGTCCTCTGAGAATTGCAGAAAGGTACTGAATTTTTAAGGAAAATATAGTAAATGTTCATAGTACACTATGATTTTTTTTTTGTTCTTTTGTATGATGAAGAAGATATTGGTGGTGTGTCAAAATCACTAATCATTAAACTTTGTGGGTAGATTAATGGAACTTTCTCAAAGCATGTGGTAGTTAGAGTGAAAAGTATGTATTCTAGTTAGGAAGGAAAAAAGTATGAAGAACTTGGAAAAAAATAATCTTTAAGGGGTTGTTTGGTTGCAAAATGAAGTTATGGAAGTGTTAATTATAAGAATGTGTTGTTAGAAATTTAAAGGCGTGTCTTATAAAGTGGTGGTTATATTAGCTATAATGTATGGGGTGGAGTGTTAGTCAGTCAAGAACATATGAGCATGTCCAAAAGATGATAATAGTGAAAATGAGGATGTTGAGATGGATTTGTGACATATTTGAAGAAATAGAATTAGTAGCGAAGATATAAGTGACTTCTATGGTGGACAAATTGAGGGAGACGAAGTTGAGCTGCTGAGATGATTTAGACTTGTAAAGAGAAGATGCATAAATGCAAGTTAGAAGGTGTGAGAGTTGACTGTTATAGGTATGAAGAGGGGCAGAGGTAGGCCAAATAAGTATTTGTGAGAGGTAATTAGCGACAAGACATGATAAACCCACAACTTATTGATGGCATGACTCTAGATAGTGTTGGGTATTTGCCATGAGTTTCTTACCATAAATGGATTTTCCTTTTCCTAAAAGAAAAACATAAAGTCTCCATATTTGGCTAGTCATTTTCTTGTTGGAGAAGGGATAGGACTCTATAAATAGAGGCTCGTTCCGTCTAACTTAATCAACATTCACAATGTAGTGCTAGGGACTTTGAGAGTTTTGGTTAGAGGGGAGAATTTGTGGGATACAAGTGATACGAACCTCTTTGTATTCCGAGTGAATTAGGTGAGATATTTCTCTCTATATTTTGTACGCTCATATTTATATAGTGGATTGCGCATCTCCCTTGTGGATGTAGGTCGATTGACCGAACCACGTTAAATTTTTGTGTCTTATGGTATATTTTCGTTTGTATTCTTACTCGTGGTCTTTCAAGGTTTACTTTGTTAGCTTCCGCATGACATCTAATTATTTCGGTCCTAACAAATAGGAGGATGTAAATGTTGAGGATTAGTGTAAAAGGTTAGCATACACAAAACCCTCCCAGTCCCCAATTATGGGATTACACCGAGTTGGTTGTTATGTAGGGTATAGTTTTGCCGAATTTATTAATTCATGTATTAGTTATTTTCATCTTCTATTACCTATAAAATAATACACACTCGCAATTTGTACATGTTTTAATTGTGTGAAACTATAAACTAGCAACCAAACATCGTACTTTAGGAGCTTCTTTATTTTCGTTAAAACCATCAATAATAATCCTTAAGTCAATTGCTAGTTTACGAGCTTGATGAACGTAGAACATCCTGAAGAATAGAATCAGTAAAAGGTGAGGGAGAAGAAAATCAAATCTTTAATCGATCTTGACACATTAATAATTCTTAAATGAGTGTGTAATAGCTCATACCATGTTCAAATTACTAGCCCCAATGCTATGGAACAAAGGATTATCTCGAACACCAACTTAGATGATAACACATATATGACATAACATAACAATATTTCCTTTGAAAAATTCTATCTACATAAGTATATATTACATAAAAAATGATCCATACAAGGAAAAATGTCTCTTTTCTCTCTTGTTTGATACTATTAACCTTTTGTTACACATTATATTTGATGTTCATCCATGAAAACCAAGAATCTTGGAGTGATCATTGCTACGTAAAGCTAATTAAATCCGGCAATTCTTGAGGTTTAACAGGTACATTATTAGTCGAGCTAGTAAGTTCCGAATAATCTGCAAAAGGATTTATTCTTGATGTAAATTTGACTATAGCAGAAGAGTCATCACCACCATGTTCTTCATCAAAAGTCTCCCAACGATTAGTAATTATCGTCTTCAATTTGGTTTCAGACTCCATCTTTTCGTAAATCACAATGTGTTGATTGATTTCATCAATCTTTTCGGATGTATCTGAAGCCCCCTTGATGATTTCTTCGAGTTCTTTGATTTCTTCATTTGGGATTTGGTCTACTATTGGACATATTTCAGCATTTCTCACCCCGATATCTCTGTTAAACTCGAAATATAGAGACAATTCTACAGCTTGTATATTCGCCTTTTTCATGATTTTAAGAGCCAATGTAGCTTCAACTTTACCAATTACGTTAATCCTTGATAAAACACGAGCAATACCAAGGCGAATCCTGCTGTAAACATCGAAAATCTCTGTCACAACGCAATCCATAGCTTCAAGAATAAGAGGGACAATAGTAGAATCTGATAATGGCCTAATCTCAAGTAACATATCTAGCAATGTCTGCAATTTTTCGAGCAAAACAAGATCCTGAACCATCGAATAATTCTCTTTTTCTTCATTTTCAAGATTTTGCATCACCATGTTCTTGTTCAATTTCACCATGCGTCTTTTCTCCTCCATTTCCATGAAGAGAAAGTAAGATTTCTGATCAAGAAACATGAAATAAGCACGAATGAACGCGTTTATCCCCTGCATTTCGATGTTTCTTGAATGTCCATCTTCGAAATTAGAGAGATCAAATGTCAACCTCCCAATTCTTTGGACACAAGGAAGCCTAGTGCTATATAGACCATGCATTAATATCAAAACCTTAATTGCAACAACCCAACTCTTTGTTTTCTCTGTTCGAATAGATATAGCCCAAATGAGAGGCTTAAGATTAGTCGATGACAAACGAAGCCATCTAAATACGCGATCAACATTCTTCATGTTCATGGAGAATTCATCGTGGCTCGTAGCTTTTATAACAGCAGCCTCGATGTCTGGATTCCGGAGAGCTGTACGTCTCGATAAGCTAGCAATCCATACGCTATTTTGATCTTTAAGCAATCCGGAAACCTTTCTCCATAGCCTCATTGCTAGTTTGATATTCCTTGCTCTGTTTCCCCTGTTTTTTCCTTCTTTCTCTTGATGTTCTTTTTCTTGTTGGAAGAGTTTTTTGTGGTGGAATTCTTTTTTGTAGTTTTTATTATACATTATTATTTTCCTTCGTTTTAATTTATTTATCTCTTGGATGACTCGAAATGTAACTTTTATTGACTTAAAGGTTTAATACACAAATAATTGTTCTATGCAAAGTTGATTTCTCCTTCACTTGCTATAAACACACACGTAATAAACGCTTCTAACTGTTGATCACATACTTATGTTAATATTTGACTTAACTGATATGACTAAAGTGCGTGTCAGAAACGCTTATAAAGAGTGTTAATACAAAGATTTTGACTAAGAAAGTCTAAAATCTAGAAGAAACAAAGAATATCAGAAATTACAAAACCATTCAAGCAGTAGGTGTCAATTTAAATATTAACCTTAGCATAATTTTAAATCCATATCATTTAGATATGCAATTAACTTCTTTATTTTTTTCCTTTCAATTTGCTCAACTATTATAATAAAGAAAATTCATCATGTACTGAACTATTAATAGTCCTATAGCATATCCAATGAAATCTCACAAGCGAGGTATGAGGTCTAACAAAGTAGAGCATAAACACACAACCACGTGAATTACTTATTTTACCTTGTTTCACCCTTACCCAGAGGTCCCGAGTTCGAGCCCTGGGTATGGAGAAAATCATGTTGGGAGCGCCACCCACGAATGGGCCCTGCATTGTGCGATCCGAATTTAGTCGGGGCTTCAATGTGGGCTCCAAACACCGGGTGGGAAACAAAAAAAAATTATTTTACCTTGCATATAGTATACACAATCCTTGACTAAAGTATTTTGAATCCCAAGAAACTCCTAGCTTAAAATTTCTCTCTATGTGCTGTTCAATTTGCTTTTTCAAGTCACCTTTCTATATCTGAGTTTTTTTAGTCCCTCTTTGACTTTCCATTTGTTCCTTCAAAAGTGATTGTATGAACAATTCAATATAAAAATAATAGTAGTGAATCTATGAACAAAAATATGGATAGCATTGATGAGAATAGATTAGGGAAGTTTCAAGAAAAGGGTGTTCATTTTCTTGAAGAATCAGCATCCCAAATGAAAATGGACTGTAATAAGGGAAAGGAAATAGTTGTATTTGAGGATCAAAATGACGAAAACAACATATGGGTAGATAGAGATTTTCTTAAGTTAAATGAGTATAAAGGGAATTCCTCTAAAAGGGTAGCTGAGAATGAGGAAATCCAGGTAGAAATTAGAGAAAAGAAGCTTAAAGGTGGAATCTTGGATCTTTCCTCTAAAAGGGTAGCTCAGAATGAGGAAATTTTAGTAGAAAATAGAGGAAAGAAACTTAAAGATGGAATGTTGGATCTTTCCTCTAAAAGGGTAGCTGAGAATGAGGAAATTTTGGCAGAACTTTGTGAACAGAAGCTTAAAGGTGGAATCTTGAATCTTTCCTCTAAAGGGGTAGCTGAGAATGAAGAAATTTTGGTAGAAATTAGTGAAAAGAAACTTAAAGGTGGAATCTTTGATCTTCCCTCTAAAAGGGTAGCTGAGAATGAGGAAATTTTAGCAGAATTTATAGGTAAGAAGGCAAAAGATGGAATCTTGGATCTTTCCTCTGAAGGGGTTCTTGAGAATGAGGAAATTTTAGCAGAAATTACAGATAAGAAGGCAAAAGATGGAATCTTGGATCTTTCTTTGGCTTTGCCTAGTACTAACAGTAGCAGGAGTCTACAATCACCAGAACCATCAAATAACAACACAAGGATTGGGTATTTCAGGAATGGTTCCTTGTCGTCGTGCTATTCCCATCCGTTTTCCCACAACCTTAGCTACTCACTTACACTGAGTTCAGAAGATGATAGTGAGTATTCCGGGGAGGGAATTAATTGGTCCGGTTTTAGCCAGTTTAGGAAAGTTGAAGCAGGAGATTGTACATTGCCAGGTCATCCTGATGGAAGTAGATTAGCTCTAAGTTGTAAAAAGGTCAATAAGGAAATATGTGATAATGATACTGATAGGATCAGTAGCTCGGATAGTAATTCGTTTTTCCTATTCGAGTTGCCTTCTAGACCAGTAATTGATGATCAATCAGGTGATTTGAGAATCCTTGGAGAAGTAGTTTCAGAGTCTGTTCCTCTTATGACTCAGATTATGCAAGAGCTTCCTGATGAAACAGTCGAATCAACAAAGGAATACTTGAGAAGCCTAATTGCAATTCCTGAGAATAAAGATTTGTTGATCAGCCTTCAGAACAGGCTTAATGGGAGATCTGATCTTACCTTTGAGACTCTTTCGAAGTGTAACAAGACTCAACTTGAAATTTTGGTTGCCATAAAAATGGGACTTGGAACCTTCTTATCTTCCGAAAACCACCTTCAAACCACTGAATTGATTCAGATTTTTTCTCTTGAAAGGTGTCGAAACATTTACTGCAAGAGATTGTTACCTGTTGATAATTGTAAGTGCAAAATTTGTTCGAAAAACAAGGGATTCTGCAATGTATGTATGTGTCAAGTATGTTTGAACTTAGATTACGCCAATGGTACTTGCAGTTGGGTAGGCTGTGATCTATGTGTGCACTGGTGTCATGTTGTTTGTGCTATACAGAGAAATCTTATAAAACCAGGTCCAAGTATCAACGGTCCATCTGGAACAACTGAGATGCAATTTCACTGTCTTGGTTGTAGTCATTCTAGTGAAATGTTTCGGTTTACTAAAGAAATGTATAGATGTTGTGCAAAGAACTGGGATCAAGAAATCCTAATTAAAGAGCTTGACTATGTTCAAAAGATTTTTCATGGGAGCGATGATTTTAAAGGTAAGGAGTTGCATGCTATAACTTATGGACTGCGGAACAAGCTAGAGAAAAAGATGATCTCTCCTTCAGACGCCTGCAATTTCATCTTTCAGTTTTTTAAATGTGAGTTTCAAACCAAACCTTATACTTTCTAATTTCAACTGTTAGATTTTGTGTTATTGTCCTTTAGCACGAGATACTGAGTCTCACGTGTCTACCATTTCACCACCAAGGCATCTTGAAAATGAATCGTATTCCATGAATATGATATCTATGTGGTGTACTAATGTATGCAATATATGACAAAAGTGGATCTATTGATCGTTCATGTCATATAGGCTCAAGCTGGACATAGGTGCCCTATTTCATACAATCTATGTGGTACGTTGGAACTAATTCTTGTTATTAACAGACACGGATGGCTTGTCACATTTTCTTTCATCAAGTTTTCCGGCATCTATCCCTCTTGCTGATAAATCTTCCTTCTACATCATGAGCTCTTCAAGTAGAAGAAAAGCTACGATTACTGTTGATCATCATCGTCAAAGTGATGCCAAGGATTCGTCTAAGTCTGATAAAATGATCGAGGACGAATGTTCAGTCATCAAAGAAGTATGAGCTCTCCAAGTGAAAGAAAAAATATGATAGTTTGCAAAGCATTGTGAGGATCAAAGAAGCAGAAACACTGACTTTCTAAATATTTTAACTTCACCATTTAAATGTATGAGCTTTGTGACGAGCAACTATTCTTAGACCATTTCAGCCATTCTTAGAAATAGTATTAGATTTCAAGCAGGGCAAATGTCAGATTGTAAAGGCTTGCAGGGAGATAGCATCAGTGGCAGACTTAAAGCTATGGAATTCATCACTGAACAGACTGAATAACTTGCCTTGAGGCTGATTTTCCTGTTGCTAGTCTTTGAGTTATCATCTGTCCCTTAACTATTTTGGTAGTGTTGTGTCTTTCTGTATGTGATCCATGTTGTTGCCACATTTAGTTTCTTTGACGTTATAACAAGTTTCTAAAGCTCGTTTAGTAGTTGGATAAGAAACAAGTTACCCATTTATTAATTTTCCGTATAATTTATACGACAGATAGGAAATAAGTTATCCATGTATAAAATTAATATGATGTTTGATTGACAATTTATTAGAAATCCGCATAACTAATACATGTATAAGCTATGAAGGAATCTATGTATTATTTTATGCGGGATGGAAGATGTAATAACTAATACATGAATAACTAATTCCTACATAGCTGATATATAAAATCAGTCATAACTAATCTCTATGTAACTCTAACCAGATATCAAATGAAACAAACTTTCTGTTTTTCCTTTTGCTAGTTTAGTCTTTTTTGAGAAATGAGTGATATGCACCTATTTGGCCTTTGTAAATATTTACTTTGGTATCAACAAATAAAGAAAAATGTTCAAATATGCCATTAAATTTTGAGAAAAGACTCATTTATGTCATCCGTTAAGAGTTTGACTCATTTATGCCATTTTCATTTGAGAAAAGATTCATTGATATCGTTATTTATTAACTCAAATGACATAGATGAAGTGATGAACCAAACTTTTAACGGATGGAATAGATGACCCTTTTTTCTTTAAAAATGATTTAATTAATGACATGACCGAATCATAATTAACCACGTGTACAAAATGGTTTTGCAAAATCGGAACTATTTTTATTTAACAAATAATGACATGGATGAACCTTTTCTCAAACAGAAATAACATACATAAGCCAAACTTAATGAGTCTTTTCTCAAAGTTCAACATATTTAAGCTTTTTTTTAGTAAATAAATTTACTTGTTAAAAAGAAGACCAACCATTGATCAAACTCAATACATCAACTTGAGTTTGAGGGGAATGTCAAGAATATATTTTAAAATATTTTATAATAATTAATTTCTTTTTTACTTTAGGATCTAACTTAAATATTCGAATATTTATTGTCCTTTCGAACATTTAAATTAGATTCTAAAGTAAGGTTGGAATATGTAATCGCTGTAAATCTCAAATATAATGATAAAGTGAAAATTGTTCCCAAGTTAATTTGCCTTTTTTGTTATTAGGAAAAAAAATAGCAACAGAGTGGTTATGAACTGATTTAAAGGAGTTGTTTTTTTAGGATATACTAAGATTAATTTCATTTACAAAAGAAAGAGAAAATTAAAAAAAAAAACTTTTAATTTAAGTTTTAGTTGTCTTATACTTTCTCAATTTCAATTTGTTTGTCTTAATTTTCTTTTTAGTCCGTTCAAAAAATTGTTTTTTTTCTTTTTTCTAGCAACTCTTCGAGTTTAAATTTTCACGTGACATGTTTAAACACAAAATTAAAGGATATTTTGAAACATTCTACATATTTTAGTTTAAGATCACAACAATCAAAAGTCTTATTTATTTTTTTAACTTTGTATCAAGTCAAAATCACACATATAAATTATTCTTTAGTTTAATACTTAACTAGTAGTATTTCTTTATTCTGATTTTTTGTTTACTCTTTTCTAGAAATAGAAAATAAAAATTAGATCAGTTAGATGTTGCCACCTAGCAAGATTTCCTCTTATCTTCTACCCTCCGTCCCAACTTATGTAACACATTTTATTTTTCGAGAGTCAAACAATTTTTAATTTGGCATAATACATATATTGGACCCTAACCTTGGCTTCAAATTTTAACTTTGACCTCCAACTTTCATAGTGCACAAACAGACACTTTAACTATCCAATCTTTTAATAAATAAACACGCGAATCCTACTTGGCAAAACGTGTGATGTGAACGTATTTTGCGCGAGTTAGGAGTAATTTTCGAGTCCCACAACAGTAAAAACCTCCCTTTTCCGGCCAGCGAACACCACTTGAAACCACCCAAAACCTCCATTCATTTTCTTCTTCTCCTCTCCGCTCACGCCACCACCAGCGAGCCGGCTTCAGCCTCAAACAACCAGCTGCTCCCAACTCCAAACACCTCCAATCCAGCTATTCTCCTTCTTCCTCCACACCGAAGCACAACCCATGAAGCGAACGAGCTTCGAGCTCGCTAAACCCACCAAATACCCGACCCCAAATCCATCAGATCCACCATCTCTGGCGAGAATCATCACGAAACAACACTGCCGCAACCAGCAGCTCGAACCAAACACAAAACAGCAACCAATGACCCCTCAAACCCCATGAAAATAGACCCAACAACCACAAACACCTAAACCAAGAAGCCAGCAGCCAGCCATTAGGAGGAATTAATTTTGATTCTTGTATATAAATTAAAATTAATTTTGATTTTTTTAGTTCTAAAATGGACGTGTAAAATATTTAATTAGTTGACAGTCATTGAGTGGCTCACTAATACACGTGGGAGCGTTTGCATTTCACGCTCTTTGGCTACGAAAATCGTGTGTTTATTTATTTAAAGGTAGGATAGTTAAAGTGCCTATTTGTGTACTATGAAAGTTGGAGGTCAAAGTTAAAACTTGAAGCCAAGTTTAGGGTCCAATATATGTATTATGCCTTCTAATTTCTTTGAAATAAAATTTATATATTTGTAAATAGGTAAAAAGTATTTAAGGCACAATAATTGTCAATCTAAAATATTTAATATATGAAAATTTTAGAGTTAAAAAGATAAACTTGTTTGAATCTCAAAATTCGAAATGTGTCCCATAAATTGGAACATACGGAGTTCTTCATATGTTCCATGCAAAATAAATACTATCTCAACAACCTAAATTTTTTGAATATTATTTGGATGAATTGTCAAAATCTTAAACAACTATTGAGCATTAGTGGAGCAAAAGCTACTGGAGGGATCCATCCCATTCCCCACCTGCACTCAATGAATTCTCACTCATTTTACTTTATTTTATCTTCTCTCTGTTAAGTCAGATTCTTCATTGTTTCAATAATAATTTGTGGCTTGTGATAGTGAAGTTTAAAAACCTGTTGTCCATTTGTTACATATAGTTGAGCTAAAAGAATTCTTACAGTGTGGTAATAGGAAGGTTTGGAAAACAAACAAAAAAAAAAGATGACAAACAGCAGAAGACATGTGCAACATTTTGTTCATGTAATTCTTGTTATTCTTCATTGTTTCAATGCAGGATTTTGCACAGAAGTAGATAGTATTAACAGTACTCAATCTCTGATAGATCCCGTGATTTTATCGTCCCCAGGAGGCGTCTTCAAGTTGGGATTTTTCAGTCCTCAAAACAGTACTAATAGGTATGTTGGTATTTGGTATAATTTTTCTGTAACAACTGTCATTTGGGTGGCTAATAGGGACAAACCTTTAAGAGATTCTTCTGGGGTTGTCAAGATATCTCGTGATGGAAATGTCGTTCTTACGAACGGAGAGGAGGAGATTCTTTGGTCATCAAATGTTTCAACCTCTCAGGTAGACTCAATTGCCCTTCTGCAAGATTCTGGGAACTTTGTTCTTGTAGATCATCTGAACAATATGAGCACAACATGGCAGAGTTTTGAACATCCTTCTGATACAGTTGTCCCTAAAATGAGAATAAGTGAAAACACAAGGACAGGGGAGAGGGTAGAAGCAAAATCTTGGAGAAGCTCTCGGGATCCTAATATTGGAAACTTCTCTTTAGGAATAAGTTCTGGATTCATTCCTCAGCTGTATATATGGAAAGACAGCCGTCCCTATTGGCGAAGTGGTCAATGGAATGGTCAGTTCTTCATCGGAGTGCAGGAACTGTATGCTGTGGCGTTTGATGGATTTAGTCTAGTGAACGAACGCCAAGGTTTTGTATATTTTACTGGCCCTGTTTCTTCTAAATTCATAACCAAATTTGTCATGGATTGGAAAGGGAACATGGTTCAATCATATTGGGATGAGAATGAGAAAAACTGGAAGATAACATGGTCAGTTCCCAAAAACGATTGTGAAGTTTATGGAACGTGTGGTCCATTTGGAAGCTGCAATTATTTTGAGTCGCCGATATGTTCTTGTCTGAAAGGTTTCAATCCAAAACATAAGGAAGAATGGGAAAAGGGGAATTGGACTAGTGGTTGTGTTAGGAGGAGGCCTTTGCTATGTGAAGTAAAGAATAACACAGGGGATTCAAGTAAAGAAGACGGATTTCGAAAGATGAAGTTAATGAAATTGCCTGATTTTGCAGAAAGGTCATATACTATAGAAGAAGAATGTAGAAGCCAATGCTTGGGCAATTGTTCCTGCATAGCATATGCATTTGACACAGGTATCGGCTGTATGTTGTGGAGTAGCAACTTGATTGATATCCAGCAACTCCGAATCTGGGGGAAAGATCTCAATTTTCGCGTGGCACATTCAGAGCTTGGTATGTATACTGGCTATCTACTTTTTTCAGCCAGTATAGCTTATTCTGTTATTTTAGATATCATGGACTCAATTGGATTCCATGTATATACTTTAAGTTGCTAACTTCTGTGAAGAACTGATATTTCTTCACCTTTTGTGTTTGCTCTACATTGTAGATCATCATAAAGACATAAAGAAAATTGTAATCCCAGTGATCCTTGGTACGCTTACACTCTGTGTTTGTCTGTTCATTTACTGTACAAGGGTGGCCATATGTAGAGGTAAAACAGGCTATAATTTTTTTGTATTATACATTTAGAAGCATTTTGTTGGCTATAGTTAACTTGTATTCATGCTGATATTAGGAGTGAAGACAAAGGAGGTAGTTTCACTTGGTAACAAAAGTCCAGTTCATATGGAAGAATTACCAGTCTTCAGCCTCGATACGCTTGCAAATGCAACATCCCAATTCCATGAGGATAACAAGCTTGGTCAGGGCGGTTTTGGTCCAGTTTACAAGGTACAAGTTTCATCTCTCTCGATCACTTCTCAAATTTCAAGTCACTGAAATTGGTGCTTTGACCCAGTGAGGAGGTGTGAGAGGTTGACAACAGTGGGTTTTAGGTAAGGTAGAGGTAGGCTGAAGAAGCATTGGGGAAAGGATTTTAGACAGGACATGGTGCAGCTCCAGCTTTCCAAAGAAATGACCTTAGATAACAGGTTATGGAGGTTGCTGATTAGGGTAAAAGTTTAGTAGGTAGTTGAGAGTTGTCTCGTTTCCTACGGGGATAGGAGGATGCGTTGTACCTTCCTTGTTAATATCAGGAGTACTAGCATTCGGCTAGTAGTTGCCTGTCTTATGACTTTTGTTACTTACGGCGCTTCAGTTTTTTGCATTGGTTGGTTATCGTTATTGCTCTTCTTTTGAATGATATGTTATGTTTTTTCTTTATCCTCTTTACTTCTATTTTTTAGCTTCTCTGATATTCACTACTTGAGCCAAAACAGCCTCTCTACCTCCTTGAGGTAGAGATAAGGTCCGCGTACACTCTACCCTCCCCCCTCCATTTTGGGACTACATTGGGTTTGTTGTCGTTGTTAAAATTGGTGATTCTTTTTTTGGTAATAACTGTGAAATATTACCATTGCAACAACAAGAACCATTTACAGAATTACGGAGCATCCAGTATCCCCACCCCCTTCTAGGAAGGTTGCAGCAAGTATCTAGACCTCAAGCAAAAACAAAAAATCAAACAAGCCTCACCAACAATCTAGTTACAAATTCTAGAGACTAAGTTAGTGCATCTATGAGCTCTTTTGGAGCAGTGTAACATATCTATCCTCTCCCTAATCTCCCTTTGGATCTGTGCTATAACAAAACTCGTATTTACATGTATGTTTCTGAAAATCTTCATGTTCCTTGCTCACCAAGTATGATAAATCATAGCGCCATAAATTGCCGCAGCTACTTCCTTTTGGAACCTCTTCCATCTTCTTCTTTGGAACCATTGTAGATTTTGTATTACTCCCCTCTGTTGCAAATACAGGCCTGACCATGTAGAGAGAGCGACCCTTATTTCCGATATCCAGCCACATCTAGCAAACAAATGATTCTGAGTCTCTATTTCATTTTCCTCACACAAACAACATGTATGGTCATCAACTGAAATGTTCAATCTGGTCATTCTTTCATTGGTACGTATTCTATTCTGGGAAGCAATCCATAGGATCATTCTATGCTTTGGCAGCACAATTGAATTCGATATAAGCTCTGCTTCTTTCACTCTAGGCAACTGACCAAGTAAAGCGATATAACTCTTAGAAACTGAATAATTACCAGAGGGGGAGAGCTGGTACGTTCCCCTACTATACCAATGAATCATCTGCTCCTTTGGTGAGTTCAGCTTCCTCCAGTACCAACTACTGTCCGCAGATGGACAATGATCCCATATTTGTGCACCATCCTTTATGCAAATTCCATGAACCCATTTAACCCAAAGTAAGTCCTGTTTTGTAGCCAATTGCCATAACAATTTTCCAACAGAGGCAATATTCCAGCTCTTGCAGCTTCTAATGTTTAGGCCACCACATTTCTTGGGAGTACAGATTTTTTCCCATGCTACTAGCATTATTTTTCTCTTCTCAGCAGTTTTCCCCCACAGATAATCCCTACATTGCTTGTCTACTTCCTTCAATACACTTTGAGGTAGTATAATCACAGTCCCCCAAAAATTATAGATAGAAAATAGGACAACATTTATGATTTGAAGTCGACCAGCATACGATAGTTGTCTAGAATAAGCTGTGATCCTGGAGGTTATCTTTTCAACTAACTGGTGACACTCCATTTTGCTCCATTTCTTTGAGGACAAAGGTAGGCTTAGGTATCGTATAGGGAGTGTTCCTAAAGAGAAGCCTGTTCTGTCCAAAATCTCCTGCTTTACTTCATCATTCACTCCAGCTAGAAAGATATTTGATTTCTCTTCATTTGCTACTAAACCAGATGCATTGCTAAAATGTGTGAGAGCTTCCATTACTCTGGAGATAGAACCCATATTACCCTTACAAAAAATCATTAATTCGTCAGCAAAAATTAAGTGAGTCAGCTTAGATGTTTTACACATAGGATGAAATTGAAAGCTTGGCAGGTCACTCATCTTCCATTACCAACACAAACAACAATGGTGACATGGGATCTCCCTGCCTAAGACCCCTCTTTCTTTCAAAGAATCCATGCCCTACTCCGTTCACTTTGATAGTAAAAGTAGTAGATGTTACACACGTCATGATTAATTGCACAAAATACAACTGGAAAGCCGAACCCCCTCAAAACGTCCTCTATGAAGTTCCAGCTAATCATGTCATACGCTTTCCTTAAGTCAATTTTCATAAGACATCTTGGGGAAGTTTTCCTGTTGTAGTGCCTCAACAGATCATGGCAAATCAATATATTGTGGGTCAAGGATCTTACAGCTACAAAGGCTGCCTGGTTCTCAGCCACAACAGTAGGAATGATTTCCTTTAATCTCATGCATATTAGTTTAGAGATGCACTTGTATAAAACATTGCAACATGATATAGGCCTAAACTGGCTAGCATATTGGGGAACAGATACTTTAGGGATCAGAGAAATAATTGTGGAATTAACTTGTCTTAACAAGTTTCCATTGTTGAAAACTCCAATACGACATTTGCGACTTCATGACCAATAACACTCCAAGCTTCTTTGAAGAAACCCTTCCATACCCATCTGGACCAGGGCTCTTGTTCCTGTCAATGCTAAACATAGCTAACTTCACATCCCTTTCAGTAAAAGGCTGAACCATGTCTATTTGCTGGCCTATGGACAATTTAGGACCATTCCTTAGGACATTGGGACATGCCCTTGTCCTGCAGCTCCCGTTTGTCCCCAACATATCTTGATAGTAGTCCACAAAAATTCCTGCAATCATTTTATGGTCAGTCTGGAGAACATCCTGACTATCTTTAAGTTGGGTCACAGCCTCTTGCAACTTCTTATGCTTGATTATGGAATCGAAATAGCTAGTATTGTCATCTCCTAGCTTTATCCAACTAGCTTTACTCCTTTGCTGCAAAAATACCTCAGCTAAATACGAAGATCTTCTAAACTTCTTGTGCAACTCTTTTTCTTGCTGCTGTAGTATTAGATCAGTGGGGCTACTCTGCAGAGTTTGTTGAACTTGCTTCAATCTATCTCTATCTTCATCCGCCTCTGTTAGAATGTTCCTAAAATGCTGACCATTCAATTGTTTAAGACTCTTCTTCAAACACTTAAGCTTCTTCACCACTTTAAACATTTTACAACCTGGAAACTGTTTCAACCAACCTTCATTTACTCTAGTCAAAAACTGAGGGTGAGTAGCCCAGACATTGCAATACTTGAAAGGCTTTCTAATCGGTGGTTGTCCATGTATAAGGCTAATCTTTGCTGGACAGTGATCACTTATTCCTTCTGGCAAAAAAGTTGCATTGTATGCTTGCATTTTATCTAACCATTCTGTATTAACAAACACCCAATCTATTTTGGAAGAAACTCTAGCATCCCCTTTGTCATTCCCTATTAACTCTGCTCCCTTGGTGAGGAAGTTCCACCCAGCCACACGTATCGACACACTCTTGAAAATCTAGAACGTCTGCCAGGTTTACTGGATTGCCTCCAATTCTATCATCCATATTCATTACTGCGTTAAAGTAACCCATTACTAACCATGGACTATTACACATACTACTAACACTTTCCAAATATGACCATAAATTTTTCCTCTCCTCTCTGGCATTTAGTGCATATACAACAGCTAACGTAAACTCTACTTGCAAGGATATGTTAAGCACCATACAAGTAATAGCTTGAGCCATACCATTCGTATATGTCACCTTGAAGAAATCAGGTCTCCAAGAAATTCAGACCCTCCCATTATAGTGATATTGCAAATTTGTAACATAATTCCATCCTCCAAACATTCTTGCAGCAATTTCATCAATCCTGTTACTCTTTATTTTTGTTTCTAATAATCCCACTAGCCCCGTACTTTCCTTATTACATAGGAGTATGACCTCCTTCTGTTTGTTAGGGGCATTCAAACCCCTAACATTCCAACACAAGATACTATTCATTCCCTAATGGAGGTTGTGGCTGGCCTCCCTCATTTCGAACTGGACTTCTAATCACCTGTTTACTTGGTACATCCTTATCCAAGGTCTGGAATGAATTCTGTTGTGGTGTCGTATGAACTGTTGCTTGTTGCCTCTGTTTATAGTGTTGCTGTTTGTTTTTCGGGGTAATCCAGCCAGCTGTGCGAGCCTCTTGTACACCCGGTTGACCAATCTTCTCTTTTCCTTTAGGCGTTCCACCTTCTTGTGTTTGTACAACCTGTTGTTTATTTCGTGCACCCTCTTCCTGAGTCGAATTTGCATCAAATTGGTGATTCTTTCTAGGGGAAATTGGAAGATGGGAAAGAAATAGCAGTCAAAAGGCTTTCAAAAGCCTCTCGGCAGGGGCTTGAGGAGTTCATGAATGAAGTGTTGGTGATCTCTAAAGTCCAACACAGAAATCTTGTTAGACTCTATGGATGTTGTATCGATAAAGAGGAGAAGATGTTGATTTATGAATACATGCCAATGAAAAGCTTGGATGTGTTTCTCTTTGGTTAGTCCTTACTCTTGAAAGCACTTCTTATAATGTCGATGTATGCATGTTGGATCCTCCAAACGTACTGCATTTTTTGGAGGACCCGACATGAGTACATCAGCAGCTTTTAGAGAGTGTGTGAGCAACATTGCTCCACATTTCTTCTGAAGCAAAGTTAATCCCTTGTTACTATTTTTCAGAAAATTTAGCAAGTTCTCTGATCATCTTCTCTACATTCTATGTTCATATTTGACAAACATCTAGATGAAGGACACCGAGGCATTTTGGATTGGAGGAAACATTTCACTATAATCGAAGGGATTGGTCGAGGACTCCTTTATCTTCACAGAGATTCAAGATTGAAGATAATTCATAGAGATCTAAAGCCAAGTAACATTTTGCTCGATAATAACTTCAATCCAAAGATTTCAGATTTTGGCATGGCTAGGATTTTCGGATCTGATCAAGATCAAGCAAACACAAGGAGAGTAGTTGGTACTTAGTAAGTGATCATTGATCCATATATACCATATTTTGCATAATTTTCTCTAGTAAAAAACCGCATCATACATATATATTAACTAAACAATTTTTACACGAACGTGATGACATTTTTACAGTGGATACATGGCCCCCGAATATGCAATGGAAGGAAGATTCTCTGAGAAATCTGATGTTTTCAGCTTTGGAGTTCTAGTGTTAGAGATCATCAGTGGCCGAAAAAGTTCAAGTTCTTGGATTGAGACATCCTCTTTGAGCCTTTTGGGATATGTAAGACTCATCTTATATCTAATATTCAAAACACTACTCTTACCAAAAATGCTTGTACTGAAATACTATGCAGTCAAACATTTCTATAATAACGTCGTTTGTCCAGATACCTTTTGGCTGCTACAGTGAAATGCTATTATAGAAAACATAACATAAAAACTGGTTCCAAGGAAAATTTCACCAATATAGTGAAGTGTTGTTATAGAGCTAGGAAGACTGTTATAGAGAGGCTCGACTATATGTACCTTATATTTTTACATTATGATTGGTAGAATTACTTTTGCTGTGCTATTTATGCATCAATAAGTTTGATGATCATCAACTTTTCACTGTTTTCAGGCATGGATGTTATGGAAAGAAGAAGATTTATCAACTTTTATCGATTCGTTCATATTGAATCCGAGCACGGAAATGGAGATCAGAAAATGTATGCAGATTGGTTTACTGTGTGTTCAAGAATTTGCTGAAGACAGGCCAAGTATTTCATCTGTTCTTGTCATGCTTACTAGTGAAACTACAAATCTTCCTGCACCATTACGGCCTGCTTTTACTGAAAGACATGAGAGCAGAGAAACTAAGTGTACTTTGAACAATATCAGCATCACAAACCTTACTGGTAGATAACATGAGCATATGAAATTACCGTTTTAACATATGCACAATTGTCATTGTACGTCATAATCCATCTGTCTCAATTTATATGACACCTTTTTAATTCTAAGACGTTTCAAAATACTTGATGTCATCATTCATTTCTCGATTACATGTTAAATATCATGTTCAATCAAATATCATAATTCATCTGTCTCAATTTGTATGACACTTTTTTAATTCTAAAACGTTTCTTAATACTTAATGTCATCATTCATTTCTCGATTACATGCTAAGTGTTCATGTTCAATCAAATATCATCATCATAAGTGTAATATGACTTTGCGCACTAATTTCATTCTTATAGAGTAAATCAAGGTATACAACAAGTGCCAGTCAAGTTAGGACGCAATCAAATCAAGATTAACGATCAATGAAGTGGGTGCAAACTTCGAAATCATGTTGAAGTTTTAATTGAGATAAAAAAAAAATTTAGGTAATTTCTTATTGCATGTCTTAGATTTCGTGAGCAGAACTACCCTATACTTATAATAGTGGGAGTGACAGTTTAAGATTAAATTCTTCGATCATTCGAAACGTCAAAACTAAAAAAATATTAAAACCTAAGAAATTATTTTTTAAAACAAGTATAAATTGTCATTTTGCTTGCTAACTTTTTCTAAAATGTGAATGGTGTGACAGCAAGAAAATGACAAAAATGGTTCAATATATTTAGGAGTAAATTCAAATTAAATAGTTTTGGTTATTAAGTTTATCAAAAGTGATTTATTTATTTATTTATATAAAATATTTAGTAAAACACTTCCGTTAGATCTGACGGAATTGCGGGGAAAAATCAATAGAAACCCACCGTTGTTTTTGAGGTAAAACTTCTATTTTTTCCGATTGATTTTGATGATCAATAAAGTTCTTTTATATCGTACAACAATATATCAATATAATGCCATAAAGTAGGGTCGTTAACGTGAAAGCGAATGCCTTGAGTCAAAAGTTCATCGATAATATGGGGCAAAACGCTTTGTTAGCACGGATATTTCAAAGCAAATAGAGTTCATGCATGTGTGCATGGTAACAAACAAGTTAAAAATTTTGGATCCACCACAGGTCAAGGATCCAACTTTTGAAGCAACCATATCTTTCAAAACTAGGGGATAATAGACCAATTTTTTCTATATTTCTCCACTTAATTAGCAAGCTTAGTTCGTATAATGCGAGGCTCAAACCTATAACCTAATCACAAGTCCCTCAACCTTTGGTGAAAAGATTGTTGTCCGTCACATTTGCATCTTCTTCCCTAAACCCTAGTCAATATTTTTTTAAAACGTAATAACTGAGTTAACCTGCATGCACCTTGACTAATTCTACAAGATACCTCCCACCAAGTGCCTAAGTCCGTCCACATAATTCTAAGCACTAACAAGATGCAAACATGCATATCTTTATACTAAATGATATAATGAAATGAAATCTTGAAGATAATAGAAGATGCATATGAAAACAAGAAAACACAAGCCAATGCATTAAAAGTAAGTCATACTTTCACATTCATGAAAACCAAGTCTTCCAAATCACAACTTTAATTCTTACAAGAAGTTAAGCATCCTAACTTGAGTTCATATTTGGTAAGTTTGTGATTAGTAAAATTCAGTTCTTCCAATTAAGAAACTTATCATCTCTATTACCCAAAAAAAAAAAAAAACTACGATCTTCACAGAAAAAAGTGCCACTTAAACTTTAAGGTGAGTTGTGACATATAAGTTTTACAGCATGACAAGGAAGGAACATTACTATTGTCACACAGCCTGAGATAAGACAGCAAAATAGTCACCGTCACGGCGTCACATTTACGCATTTCAGACTATCAAAATGCAAAACCAAGAACATCTACAATAAGAATGTTGACATAAAAACAGTAACTTTAGGCCATGCCTAGAGCTCTAATATGACATTTGGAATCTTATCTCCACATAACAAGGCACTGTTGGATTTCTCCAAAGTTATATATCCTTCAAAACACTTCAATCAACAACTTATCATCTTACAAGCACACCAGATAAGAAGACAAAACAGCTCCTAGACCATCAGTTCTATATTTTACTATGAAATGAAAACAATGCAAATCAGCCATATAGTCATCTATTTGAGTCTTTTGATAATAGAATAGAGTAGGAAACTACCTCCAAGAAGTCAGCAACAGTAGCTTAAGAGGTTAGTTCGGAACAATAACATCAATATGTCATGACAAATTCATACACATCTGCACTAGAAGCTATTCTGCTTGTTGCATCACTTCAGTACTCAATATTGTTTTAGTTGATGATAGTGATTATGCATCATATTTTCTATGTTAACTTGCCAGCAAGCATACAATTTTACATAAGAATTATGGCACCGAAATGAGATTTCACACGAAAACAAGAAAGCATATGCTACGTAAATGAAATTCAAGCTATAATGTAATCAAACCTATTTACAGCCAGAGACAAGTATATTAATAAACTTCCAAAAAAGGGATGAATCGTACTTTGCACGTTCATGATGATCAAGAAGCCTTCCCAGTCACATGTACTTGAATCCATGTTCGGAAAAGTAGTGACTTGAAAAGTTCAGCCACACCCCAAATTAAGAAACTTTACATTATCACCGACTCAAATAGTGTAACAAGGACCAATCCATACTTACAAGTCAATGCAAATTACAATCTTAAGATTGTTATATTTTCACAATAGTTGACCACCACCAACATCTACACAAAGTCACAAAGTCGAAGCACATGTCAATCTTAAGATTGCTTGTACTCACTACAGTTATCAGCCATAAGCTATGTAACTGTAAGTTACTGAGGTGATAACAACAGATTTGTCAAGCTAAGACAAGTCATCTAAAAACCGATCTCAAGCAGAAAGTTGCAAACACATTAGAAGACATTCATCTAATCATCTGAACAAAGGCATCACTCATGACAAAAACACTCTATAGGACTAAAGGTGCAAAGAAAATCAAACAGAGTGGACGGTCTCCAGAAGAGATTTTTTTTTCTTTTTCGATAAGTATTGGAAAGAGATAACTGACAGGAGTAAAAATAAATGGATGAACATGCTCATCTTAAGAAACATCCGATCAAGAAAAGAAATTTTCAACATCCTACTGTTGGCAGGCAGAGCAGAGTGCCAACTACCAAAGCAACAAAATGAAAAATTAAACTGTTGCTGAAAATTAAAATATCAAAGTCTAAACATGTATCGTCACGGACTACAGAAAGGTACCAAGTAAACCTCTGCAAAGGCCCCAGGGATATACAAGTAAACAAACAAGACGCATTGGCAGTCTGTAATGGTACCCTCTATGTAAGTCTACCTGATTGTCACAAACTTGTTGGTACCATGTTTGGCCCAGTGAGTCCTCAGATCAATTGGATTAGCAAAATTGTATCCTTCTGCAGCAAGTTTCTCCAAAACCTTCTTGAATGCTCCCTGGCTCATCTTTCTTCCAGCAATCCTTGCTCCACGTCTTTTAGTACTCATTGGAAGCGGATACATTGATATGCTAGTGGTGCAACACGCTGACTGCCAGCCACCACATCCCCATCGATAGCATTGCTGAGGAGAACCAGTACAGGAACAAACTGGTATAGGAATGACAGAAATGTCCATATCAATTCCATTTAATACAATGTCCATGCTCTTCTTTGCTGGTTTTGCTCGTTGAGAGGGGTTGCCATTTTCCTTAGGTGTGGATGACACTTTCTTTGACTTCTTCGCTTTGGGAGCTTTGGGAGTGGCACCACCAGTCTTTCTCTTTGAAGGACCACTTTCTTTCTTAACACTTGGTTCCTCAGCATTCACCCCCGCATCCTTAGTTGTATCAGGTTGTTGTACCATTTGCATGGGAGTACTTGCAGAAGCATCAGGGAGAACTGAAGTGTAAGGACTCCCCGGAAACATATGAAGAAATTTGTCTCTGTGATTTATCCAACTGTCCCTAACATAGTCAATGTGAGATAAAGGTGCTTCTGGGATGATAGAATCCCGAGAATGGAACACCCCATTAGCACCGAGCATAATTGGATTCTCACGCCTAGTAAGGTAAGGCTTTGCATCTCGATCAACCATCGATGACATCAGCTGAAGACCTAGATGCCCTTTAAGGGAAGGTTCATAATAACCCCAGTTCCTCATGTTCAATCCGTCGTCATCCATCAGTAAACTACAGATCAATCCAAACATCACCACTTAACATTAACTTTTTTTCCACAATTAGAAATGCCCAACAAAAATGCATTAAATTACTAATCTACATATACTTCAAAGACTCAGATTAGGAATATATCCAACATAACAAAACCATCAAGATTTGAAATGGAATAGGAAATAACAAAATCAAGTCAACCAAGCATCTAATATGAGCAGATCCAGAAACCCAAAGATAAATGCCAATTGCAAATCGATCAAATCTACCCATACCCATTGCCATTGGCATTGCCATCATTCCAATTCAGATGCAATTTCATCAACCTTTCAATAGAAATGAAATGTATAACTAGAAAATTTAACAAATGTCCATACCCCCAACTCATATATTTGCACCCAAAACAAATTAGGCACCTCAAACTCATCAAATTCAACATTGCAGCCACTAGAAACAAAAACCCACAAATAAAGTTAGAATCTTTTGAATTCCCAGATACAATTTTTGATAACCCCAACAAAAATTTTTGAACCCACAAACAAATGAGCACCCAAAACTCATCAAATTCAACATTGCAGCCACCGGAAACAAAAACCCACAAATAAAGTTAAAATCTTTTGAGTTTACAGATCAAATTTTCAATAACCCCAACAAAAAATTTTGAACCCACAAACAAAATGAGCACCCAAAACTCATCAAATTCAACATTTCAGCCACCAGAAACAAAAACCCACAAATAAAAATACAATCTTTTGGGTTTTCCAGATCAAATTTTTTGAACCCACAAACAAAATGAGCACCCAAAACTCTCCAAATTCAACATTTCAGCCACTAGAAACAAAAACCCACAAACAAAATTAGAATCTTTTTGGAGTATCCAGATCAGCTATGAAGCAATTACATACAATCTTTCATAAATCTAAAAATACCCACCACAAAAATCCACAAATGGTTACTCAAAATCAACATAGAATTCAATAGAAATGCAAGCCCACAAATAAAAATTGAATCGTTATGTTCTCCAACACAGATCTGACACAAACAACATACACAAAAACAGATCCAAAGATTAAACCAACAAAACTCATCAAAATGAAATTCGCAAATTAGCATGCAAAGATACATATTTTTTCCTAACAAAAAAAAATTCAAATGAAGAAAGAGATAAAACATATAAAGAAAAAAAAAAGTCCAAATTTTTAAAGAAAGAGATATATAGAGAGAGAAAGAGAAAGACAGGGAGAGAGAAACTTACTTGTTGGTAAACACCTCTTAGGGTTTTTTTTTCCTTTCAGGAGAGAGAGAGACAGAGGTGAGAGGAGAGAGAGAACTGAAGGAGAGAGAAAGGAAGAGAGAGAGATGACAGAAACCCTTTTAAGAAAGAGAGAAAAGAGAGACCATTTTATCAATTTATTTATTTTTTCAACCTCCAATAAAGCAATTTAATATAAATGCAATTCAATAAAAAAACAAAAACAGCCGAATACTATCTTTACGTTTACTACTTTGATACCTTGAAGCATAATAAAACCAAAATAAGAATTTTTTTTATTTTTAAATAAAAGTTTTTAAAATTTTATTTAAGTTATTATATATTGTTTCATAATATATATCCTATTATATTTTAGAGTAAATTTTAGGTTTAGCAAATATTAAAATTATTTTTATATGTTATAGTTATAGTTTACATAATTGCGCTCCATAATAAACTTTATGTTTGCTATGGAGCATCAAATTTGTATAAATCGCTGGCAGGAGCATCAGGTTTATATAAATCGATAGTAGGCCTCTCGTTTGTATAAAAGCATAGCGATTGTATATGTATATCGGTTAGATAATGTATATATGTAACTACTATGTATATGTATCAATGATTGTGTTTGTATATTTGCATAAAATTTGAATTTGTATACAATTGAATCTAAATAAAACATTTGTATATCAAATCCTTCTTTCTCTCTCGCTTTATACAACACAAATTATACATTGTAATTTGTATAATTTGTGTTTGTATAAAGCGAGAAAGAGAGAAACGCAAAAGAGAACTGATAGGGAAAGATCTGTATTTGTATAATTATAAGTGTATAGGATGAAAATATATGTATTTGTATTTACATATACAGTTTTCTCTCGCTTTATACAAACACAAACGCAATTTATACATTTGTGTTTGTATAAAGTGAGAGAGACAAGGGAGAGTGGAGAGCGAGATTTTATGGGGAGAGAGACGAATGACAAGTGTTTGCTACATATTACAATTAAATGAAACTGTGGTTATAACATTTAATTTGAATTAATAATTTGCTATTTTATACAATTTTTCCTTATATTTTATTAGTGAATACAATCTTTCAATAAATTGTATCTATTGTATCTTTATGTTACAGAATTTCACAGATGTTTGAACTATAACCTATTAGAAAAGTAGGGTACTATTATAAAAAGAAGTTAAAAATGAAATAAAATAAGTAAATAATGAGTAAAGAAAAAATGAGAAGAAAATATTAAAATAATAATGTAATCACATCAAATCAACCATTATATAAAATGAAACTTTTTCGTTGTTATGTAACGACAAATTTAAACAATATGATATCATAAAGTAATCATCAAAACAAATATAGTTATTTAAACTAACATAATTTACGATGAGTAATAACTATCTAAATAAGAGATTAGTTATTTGAGTTCAAAATTATCTTTCTTAAAAGCGTTTTTTTTTTATATAGAAAGATAATAAAGATGTTACTCAATCCTGAGAATATAAGATGCAAACATAAATATGGAACATAAAATACAAAATAGAAAGATAGCAGTAAGTGCAAAACTCCAATCACAAAATAGAAAAATAATAGCGAGTCCAAAACTCCATTCTTATCCTATCTTTGTTGAAAACTAGCGTTACCACTTGTGAAAATTGAAATAACATTATCTTTTCCCTAATTATAAATTGGGTTGTGATTCTTTCTGTTGCTGAGCTAATTTTTTTTTTTTACTAATCTATTGATACAATTATTTACTAAATTATAATTGTTTCAAATTTAAATAGAAGATTTTATTCTAATACAACTGTTTGTGCAAGCATGAGCTTCATATATAAATTACTGTATTCGTTTCAATTTATGTAGCACAAATAGAATTAAGATTGTTAATAAAAAATTTTATATAATTTTTAAATATTTTAATTGTTAATTATTGTGATCTCTTTTTATATAAATTTCAAATAATATATGTTGTCCTCTCTTTCTCTCTCTCAGTACATGTAATTTTGAGAGTCAACCAAAAAAATTTAATATGTTTTTAAAAATATTTGAAGTTGTTAATCATTATGATTTATAGCATTTTTTTTTTTTACGTAATATCAAATATTATAAATAGCAATCTGTCTCAATGTATGTGAGCATGTGTAATTTTGAGAGTCAACCAAACTTTTAGTATGTTTATTAAATATTCTAAGTTGTTAACTATTGTGTTTTATATTTTACTTATATATATATATATATATATAATTTTTAAATACTACTTTTTGTAATTTTTAAATATATAACGTATTAAAAAGGAAAGTAAGTAAATAAATTAAAGAGGAGAGTGTACTAAGCATAAATAGAGGAAAATAAAGTAGAAGAACTAATTGGAGTATTCTTTAACTGATCATAAGCAGCCTAATATATGTTACCCTATTTGTCTCAATTTATGAAGTTGTTTGATTTTTAAATATTAAAAACTATTAATTATTGTGATTTACAATATTTTTTAATGTATTTTTAAAATAATATATGTTACTCTATCGGTCCCAATTTATGTCACATATGTAAAATTTCGAGGGTCGATCAAACTTTTAATATGTTTTAAAAATATTTAAAGTTATTAATTATTATAATTTATAACACTATTTTAAAAATAATTTATATATATAATATACTAAAAATGAAAGTACCATAAATAAATTGAAATAAAATTACTAAATATACATAGTGAAAATAATTGGATAGTTTATTATTAAAACACAAAATAAAACATTTAAAATTCATATAAACACACATTCCACAATATATGAGATGAAATGACTAAATTTTTGTTTGTTATTTGCTCGTTGTCACACCATTCACACTTGAAAAAGTTTAGTAAGCAAAATACAATTTAGTAAAGGAAAAAAAATACATCTTAGCTATCATTGGATGATAAAATCAATTCCTTAGGTTTTAATATTGTTCTATTTTGTTAAAACTTATTGTTCTGTTTTTGTTAAAACTTACTTATATTCGGTGTTTACAACAAATGTATGACTCCGTGCTTTACACAAACCCAATATTGTCAAACATTTTGAAACATATTAGAATTAAAAAAGGTATCATACAAATTGAGAGATCATACTATAACAACTAACAATTGTGCAAATCTTAAAAAAGTAATTATATATGCTCATGTTATCTACCAGTAAGGTTTGTTATACTCATTTCGTTCAAAGTAAACTTAGTTTCTCTATTTTCATTGCACATTCTGAAGTGTCTTCTTTCAGTAAAAGCAGGTTGTGATGGTGCTGGAAGACTTGTACTTTCACTAGTAAGCATAACAAGAACAGATGAAATACTTGGCCTGTCTTCAGCAAATTCTTGAACACATAGTAAACCAATCTGTATGCATTTTCTGATCTCCATTTCCGAGCTCGTATTCAATATAAACGGATCGATAAAAGTTGATAAATCTTGTTCTTTCCATAACTTCCATGCCTGAAAACAATGAAAAGTTAGATCATCAAACTAAATATAAGGTACCTATAGTCAGTCAGATCTCTTTATAACAGTCGTCCTTTATAATAACATTTCATTATATAACAGCCAAGTTCTTTTTTGGTTATGTTATATTATACGTTCTTTATTATAACAAACATTTCGCTATAGCAACTATAAGAGGAGTCTTACATATCCCAAAAGGCTCAAAGAGGATGTTTCAGTCCAAGAACTTGTACTTTTTCGACCACTTATGATCTCTAAGACTAGAACTCCAAAGCTGAAAACATCGGATTTCTCTGAGAATCTTCCTACCATTGCATATTCGGGGGCCATGTATCCACTGTAAAAATGTCAGTACGATTCGAGTAGTTTAGTTGGTTAATATGGTGGAGAATTATGCAAAGTTATGGTATTGTATATAGATAAATGATCACTTACTAAGTACCAACTACTCTCATTGTGTCTGCTTGATCTTGATCAGATCCGAAAATCCTAGCCATGCCAAAATCTGAGATCTTTGGATCGAAGTTATTATCGAGCAAGATGTTACTTGGCTTTAGATCTCTATGAATTATCTTCAATCTTGAATCTCTGTGTAGATAAAGGAGTCCACGACCAACTCCTTCGATTATAATGGAACGTTTTGTCCAATCCAAAATGTCTCGATGTCCTTCATCTAGATGTTTGTCAAATATGAATGCAGAATTTAAACAAAAGGATCAGAAGAAATGTGGAGTAATGTTGCTCAGAATGCTGATGTACTCATGTCAGATCCTCAAAAAATGCACTACTTTTGGGGGATCTAGCAAGCATCCATCAACATTATTGAAGAGTCCAAGCAACATAGACGTGGAGTAATGCAGATGAGAAGTAACAAGGACTAACCAAAGAGAAACACATCTAAGCTTTTCTTTGGCATATATTCATAAATCAGCATCTTCTCCTCTTTATCAACACAACATCCACAGAGTCTAACAAGGTTTCTATGTTGGACTTTCGAGATCACCAACACTTCATTCATGAACTCCTCTAGCCCTTGTTTCGAGGCTTTTGAAAGCCTCTTGACAGCTATTTCTTTCCCATCTTCCAATTTCCCCTACAAGGAATCACCAATATCAGTAACTTGAAATATGGGAAGTGATCGAGAGAGATGAAACTCGTACCTTGTAAACTGGACCAAAACCGCCCTGACCAAGCTTATTATCCTCATTGAATTGGGATGTTGCATTTGCAATCGTATCGAGGCTGAAGACTGGCAATTCTTCCATATTAACTGAACTTTTGTTACCAAGTAAAGCTACCTCCTCGCTTTTCACTCCTAATATCAGCAGGAATACAAGTTAACTATAGCGAACAAAGTGCTTCTAAATGTATAATACAAAAACTTAATAGCACGTTTACCTCTACGTCTGATCACCATTATATAGCAAAGGAACAGACAAACACATAGTGTAAGAGAGCCAACGATTACTGGAATTACGATTTTCTTTATGTCTTTACCATGATCTGCAGAAAACACTAAAGGTGAACAAAAATCAGTTCTTTACAGAATACATGGAATTCAATTAAGTCGAGCATATCTCAAAGGCATAATACATAAACGTATCTTTTGACTTGGCCTTTGCTGACATCCATGCCATCTAACTTTGAGTGTGCATGAGAGCATAGATGTGAGTTGAGGCCAAGTAAAAGGGCACGTTTATGCATTATGTCTATCTCAAATGACTGACAATGAGTTTTTTATTCAGTACCAGAATACTTACCAAGCTCTGAATGTGCCACGTGAATAAAGAGATCTTTCCCCGAGCTTTGGAACTGCTGAATGTCAATCATTTCACTCCACGACATACAGCCTATACCTGAATCAAATGCATACCCTATGCAGGAACAATTCCCCAAGCATTGGCTTCTACATAAGTCTTCTGTAAGAGATGACCTTTCAGCAAAATCAGGCAATTTCATCAACTCCATCTTTAGAAATCCGTCTTCTTTACTTGAATTCGCGGTGTTATTATTAACTTCACATTGCAAAGCACTCCTCCTAACACAACCACTAGTCCAATTCCCCTTTTCCCATTCTTCCCTATGCTTTGGCTCGAAACCTTTCAGACAAGAACAGACCGGCGACTCCAAATGATTGCAGCTCCCAAATGGACCACACGTTCCATAAACTTCACAATCGTTACTGGGAGCTGACCATATTATCTTCCAGTTTACCTCAGTCACATTCCAATATGATTGAACCAAGTTCCCTCTCCAATCCAAGACTAATATCCTTAAAAAATTATCACGAATAGGTCCAGTAAAATATACAGTACCTTCGCGATCATTCACTACATTAAATCCATCAGATACCACAGCATACATATTCTGCACTCCTATAAAGATCTGTCCATTCCATTGACCAGTTCGCCAATAGGGACGGTTTCCTTTCCATATATACACCTGAGGAATGACTCCAGAGTTCATTCTTAAAGAAAAGTCTCCGATATTAGGATCCGAAGGACTTCTCCAAGATCTTGCTTCTACCACCTCCCCTGTCCTTGTATTTTCACTTATTCTCATTCTAGGAATAGTTGAATCAGAAGGATGTTCAAAACTCTGCCATATTGTGCTCATATTGTTTCGATGATCTACGAGTACAAAGTTCCCAGAATCTTGGAGAAGGCCAATTGAGTTTACCTGAGAAGTTGAAACATTTGATGACCAAAGAATCTCCTCCTCTCCATTCGTTATAACAACACTTCCATCATGAGATATCTTTACAACACCAGAAGAATCTCTTAAAGGTTTGTCCCTATTAGCCACCCAAATGACAGTTGTTACAGAAAAATTATACCAAATACCAACATACCTATTAGAACTGTTTTGAGGACTGAAAAATCCTAACTTGAATACGCCTCCTGGAGACGATAAAATTCCAGGATCTCTCAGAGATTGAATGCTGGTAATGTTATCCACTTCACTGCATAATCCTGTATCGATAAAACGAAGAATAACAAGAATTATATGAACAAAATATTGCAGATTTCTGCTGCTGCTGTTGCTCATCTTTTTGGTTTTCTAAGACTTTTCTTATTACCACACTTTATGAAGCACAATATGTTGTCAAAGTCTAATAGCACAAGCAGCCAAATAGGATTTTTAATTTGTTGACCCTTTAGAAATATCACAAACCACATATCATTCTCAATCAGAGACTTTTAGGCCAATGGAAAAATTGACAGTTAAAAACGAATAATGCAAAATGTAGAGTTTAATTACTATACGCTGACAATATAAGTCTTTTCTCCCATCACTATCATTGTGTAGCATGTTCCTGAAATAACATTGTGAATTGACAAGTTTTAACTTGGTTGAAATAACACATTTCTTTTCCTTAAATTATTAAATGCTCATTGAAAAAAGAAGAAGAAAATAAAATAAAATGGGTATTGATGTAAAGATATGACATCTAAGCTTAACTCAACCTTAGACCAAAAATATAATGATTGATATATTTAAACTATTTCGAAAAAGTAAAATGAGTGAAAATCCAAAAGCCACGTTAGTGTGAGAATTGAGTGGGGACCTTGACAATAAGCTAGCACCTCATCGTCAACATGCTTGCCAACTAATAATGCACCTAGTGAAATGAAAAATGTATTGTTGCACAAATTGACATTAAACCTAAGTGCTTTTTCATTTTATTCCACCATATTGAGATATAATATATTCTGTGACTTGCATTTGTTGCATAACTTGATTCGCTATTATACGAATAACATTTGCAAACACACATTACACTTGTGGATTACGATATTTGATTCAACATGTAATCGAAAAATGAATGACAAAGATATCATACAAATTGAGACAAATGGATCATCATGTACAATGATAATTAAGCATATATCTTTTAAAAAAAAATAAAAATCATAGACTCATGTCATCTACCAGTTATGTTTGTGATACTGATATTGTTCAAAGTACAATTAGTTTCATTGCACATTTTGAAGATACAATCATGTCTTTCAGTAAAAGCAGGTTGTGATGGTGCAGGAAGACTTGTAGTTTCACTGGTAAGCATAGCAAGAACAGATGAAATACTTGGCCTGTCTTCAGCAAATTCTTGAACACATAGTAAACCAATCTGTATGCATTTTCTGATCTCCATTTCCGAGCTCGTGTTCAATATGAATGGATCGATAAAAGTTAATAAATCTTGTTCTTTCCATAACATCCATGCCTGAAAACAGTGAAAAGTTGATCATCAAACTTATTGATGCATAAAACACAGTGACAGCAAAAGTAATTCTACCATCATGACGTAAAAATATAAGGTACACAATCGAACTCTCTATAACAACACGTTGCTATATGTTCTCTATAACAACATTTCACTATAGCAACCAAAAAATATCAAGACAAACAACGTTGATGTAGAAATGTTTGACTACATAGTTTTTGCAGTATGAGCATTTTTCGTATTTGCATAGTAGCATATAAAGGGAATCTTACATATCCGAAAAGGCTAAAAGAGGATGTCTCATTCCAAGAACTTGTACTTTTTCGGCCACTGATGATCTCTAACACTAGAACTCCAAAGCTGAAAACGTCCGATTTCTCAGAGAATCTTCCTTTCATTGCATATTCTGGGGCCATGTATCCACTGTAAAAATATCAGCACGTTCGTGTAACAAATGATTAGTTAATAAATATGTATGATATGGTTATTTTACGGGAGAAAACTATGTAAAGCTATGGTATATATAGATCAATGTCCACTTACTAAGTACCAACTACTCTCCTTGTGTCTGCTTGATCTTGGTCAGATCCGAAAATCCTAGCCATTCCAAAATCTGAAATCTTTGGATTGAAGTCATTATCGAGCAAAATGTTACTTGGCTTCAGATCTCTATGAATTATCTTCAATCTTGAATCTCTGTGAAGATAAAGGAGTCCTCGACCAACCCCTTCGATTATAGTGGAACGTTTTCTCCAATCCAAAATGCTTCGGTGTCCTTCATCTAGATGTTTGTCAAATATGAGTGGAGAAGGGATTAACTTTGCTTCAGAAGAAATGTGGAGCAATGTTGCTCAGACTCCCCAAAACTGTTGATGTTCTCGTGTCGGATCCTCCAAAAGTGCACTACTTTTGGAGGATCTAATAAGCATCCATCGACATAATTGAAGTGTCCGAACAACATAGATGTGGAGTAACAAAGAACAACTGCATATGAGAAGTAAAATGCTTATTAAAAGTAAAGACTAACCAAAGAGAAACACATCCAAGCTTTTCTTGGGCATATATTCATAAATCAACATCTTCTCCTCTTTATCAATGCAACACCCCAAAAGTCTAACAAGGTTTCGATGTTGGACTTTAGAGATCACCAACACTTCATTCATGAACTCTTCCAGCCCTTGTCCCGAGGCTTTTGAAAGCCTCTTGACTGCTATTTCTTTCCCATCTTCCAATTTTCCCTACAAGGAATCAGCAATTTCAGCAATTGAAATTTGAAAAGTGATCGAGAGAGAAGAAAATTGTACCATGTAAACTGGACCAAAACCGCCCTGACCAAGCTTCTTATCCTCATGGAATTGGGATGTTGCATTTGCAAGCGTATCGAGGCTGAAGACTGGTAACTCTTCCATATGAACTGCACTTCTGTCACCAAGTAAATTTTTCTTCTTCCTTTTTGCTCCTAATATCAGCAGGGATACAAGTTAACTACTATAGCTAACAAAGTGCTTCTAAATGTATAATACGAAAACTTTATAGCCTGTTTTACCTCTACGTCTGGCCATCCTTTTACAGCAAAGGAACAGACAAACACAGAGTGTTAGAAAACCAAGGATTACTGGAATCACAATTTTCTTTATGTCTTTATGATGATCTGCAATGTAGAGCAATCACAAAAGGTGAACAAATATCAGTTCTCTACAGAAATAAGCTACTTAATGTATATATATGGAATTCAATTAAGTTCATGATATCTCAAATGACTGATTAAGCTATTCTGGGTAGATAAAGAGTCTTCTATATAACACCACTATACATACCAAGCTCAGAATGTGCCACACGAATATAAAGATCTTTCCCCGAGCTTTGGAACTGCTGAATATCAATCAAGTTGTTACTCCACAATATACAGCCAATACCTGAGTCATATGCATACGCTATGCAGGAACAATTTCCCAAGCATTGGCTTCTACATTGGTCTTCTCTAGTCGATGACCTTTCTGCAAAATCAGGCAACTTTATTGACCCTATCTTTAGAAATCCGTCTTCTTTACTTGAATCCCCTGAGTTATTCCTTACTTCACATTGCAAACCTTTCCTCCTAACACAACCACTAGTCCAATTCCCCTTTTCCCATTCTTCCCTGTGCTTTGGCTCGAAACCTTTCAGACAAGAATAGATCGGCGACTTCAAATGATTGCATCTCCCAAATGGACCACATGTTCCATAAACTTCACAATCGTTATTGGGAGCTGACCATATTATCTTCCAGTTTGTCTCATTCACATCCCAATATGATTGAACCAAGTTCCCTTTCCAATCCAAGATAAATTTCGTTAAGAAATCAAAATCACCAGGGCCAGTAAGGTATACAGTACCTTCGCGATCGTTCACTACATTGAATCCATCAGACGACACAGAATACATACCCTGCACTCCGATAAAGATCTGGCCATTCCATTGACCACTTCGCCAATAGGGATGACTACCTTTCCAGATATACACCTGAGGAATGAATCCAGAATTCATTCCTAAAGAAAAGTTTCCGAAATTAGGATCCCAAGGGCTTCTCCAAGATTTTACTTCTACCCTCTCCCTGTCCTTGTGTTTTCACTTAATCTCATTTTAGGGACAATTGAATCAGAAGGATGTTCAAAACTCTGCCATATTGTGCTCCCATTGTTCAGATGATCTACAAGAACAAAGTTCCCAGAATCTTGGAGAAGGGCAATTGAGTTTACCTGAGAGGTTGAAACATTTGATGACCAAAGAATCTCCTCCTCCCCGTTCATAATGACGATATTTCCATCACCAGATATCTTGACAACCCCAGAAGAATCTCTTAAAGGTTTGTCCCTATTAGCCACCCAAATGACAATCGTTTCAGAAAAATTGTACCAAATACCAACATACCTGTTAGAGCTGTTTAGAGGACTGAAAAATCCCAACTTCAAGACACCTCCTGGAGATGATAAAATCCCAGGATCCCTCAGAGATAGAGTGCTGGTAATGCTATCTACTTCTGTGCAAAATCCTGTATTAAAACAATGAAGAATAACAAGAATTACATGAACAAAATGCTGCACATTTCTGCTGCTAGTGGTCATCTTTTTTGGTTTTCTAATACTCTTCCTATTACCAAACTATATGTAACAAAGCACAATAAGTAGTCAAAGTTAACTATTATAAGCTTCCAAATTGTCAAAGTCCACTACAAAACCATTTTGTCAATCCCACAGAACTAGCAAAAACATGTTAGGCCACACATGTCATTCTCAATCAGACTTTCAGGCCAATAAAAAAATTGGGATAAAAATCAGTTCATACTATAAAGACTTCAAAATTTCAGTCTTAGAAATGAGGACAAGACTCATTTCAAAGTTCAAACTACAGTTTTCAGTTCATACTATAAAGACTTCAAAATTTCTTCTGTACAAACTACAGTTTTCTCTTCTTTTGTCACACGATAAATCCGATTTCTTTCCCTTCACAACCCTAGAACAAAACACTGAAGTAAACAATGATGGCTATACCAAAACATGTAAAATGTTTGATTTTGGGTTCCCATACAACCATAATGATTGCAAGAAAAGGATTTTACAGTTTTTTCTCTTTAGACATTTAGTATCTGAAACTCATTGGCTAGACTAATCCAAATTCACACCTCATGCTTGTGAAAGTGCTCCCCACCAAAAGTTCTTCATTACCCGGGCTTAAAACCGAGACTTTTAACTAAAGGTGGAGAGATTTCAATTGTCCCACCACACCCATGAGTGGTGATGTAGTTACTGGTGTAGTAATAAGGATCCTTTGAATCCTTTTCCTTTCGCTCTGAGTTCCGATGAAACATGTGTGCATATCATATGGTACAATCACATTTACTAAAAATGACAAACTTATAATAAAGATAATACATCACAAAAATCCACCACCTTCATAGTACAAAACTCAAAAATCATCAAGTAAATAGCGAACTTATTCTTACATAACATGTGTGGGAGGAAAAGTTTAGCTAGACTACAGAATCCATCTAAGCTAGAATAGTGCACACATATTACACATCAATTAGGAGAAATCAAATTCCAGCTTGATGTTTAACCACTTCGTCTCACAATATCTTCTCAATGCCATCATGTTTCGAACTGTCTTACCTGCAGAAAACCATAGATGGAACTAAATCTTAAATATATTCGATAGGATCATAAATGATTCTGATAAGACATAAAGCTTTAGAAACACACCGAAGAACAAGGCCAAGAGTGCTCAAGTCAAGTGAGAAATCTACTTGACATATTGCAGGAAATCCTCATGATTCAGTGAGTTATCTTAGCCAAGGCAGCTCTTTCTTCCATTTTTTGCAACGATTTCTCCTCTTGACTTAAGGAATGGCAAAGAAACGACTCACCCCATAGACCCTCGAAGAAATAAGCTGAAAGCAATAGAAGATAAACAAGATGTAGACAGGTGAATGAGGAAGTGACAATTATCAGCAGGAAGTTTTCATGTTAAAATTATAAGGCTCAAAGTTTTCAAATCTGTCAGTCTTACTTACATTCTCATAATACTCATTATTTAATCAAAAGTCACCAGAATCAGTACACTTGTGCTCAAATTAGAAGCTGTGCTGGATTTTTGTGGAGTTTAGTTCGTTGAAAATTATGAAGCAAAAAGGTCTTTTTTTTGTTTTGTTTTGACCCAATTTGTTTGACATTGAAACCAATATTAGAAACCCATAAGAAAATTGATTAACCCAAAAAGCAATGAACTAACAATTGAGCAAATGTCTCTCTTATGCCATTTTTTTGTTTGTTTCTTATAACCAAGAAATCCTGAGAGCCAGTGGTGCACAATTTGAAACTTGGTGATAATGAGCCCGCCATTCTACCCTTTTCCACTTAAATATCGAACCTGTGACGTGCACTAAGCTCTTACCACTAGAACAAAGCCCTACGCCTCTCTCTACCGCTATTCTCAAGGGCAATAATTTCAAAATTTATTAATCAACAATAAATTATTTAATTGTATCCCATCCCACACTCTAAGTCTGAGCTTTCTTCTGTTGATATTCAGATGGCTCCTCTCAATTTTCAGTAGCAAAGTTACCATCAAACTTTTACGCTTATAATAAAAATCTGCTCTTTTAGCTTTTGACATAAACTCTTCAATGTAAATGTTACCTACTAAGGATCATTGTTTTGATATCAATAATTGTTTTCAGTACACATAGGAAGCAACATAGTTCTCAGTCACGCTTTTCACAAGAACAGATAGAAGAAAGCACAAAAGTGAAAAGTCATGTTCGAAGTCAATCTTTTCACAAGAACACATAGAACAAAGCAAAAATGACATTAGACTTCATCTTAAAGATCATATGAGCTTGAAAGCACATCCTGAAACTAACAGACATATAACTAAATGCGCAAAAATCATATACTACATAATATTTAAGCTTCAACATGTTACATGTTTATTGGACCTCTAGAATAGAGACCTACCTAGTTTCTCCAGAAACAAATGTTAACATCTAAACCTGAAGATCTTTAATCTTTCTTGTTAAAGTAATGGGAAAGTCGTTATATAAACCACTACGGACAAATAGAGTTTCCAGCAGTAATGAGGTTCGAGAGATTTACCTGTCAGTACACTGCAGACCTTCTTAGTTTCTGGGTGGGGGGAGTAAGAGACAGAAGAAATGGTGGAACATGATACCCTCCTGTATATGATGGACTATTTGGAGAGAAAGAAACAAGAGGTGTCTAGAAAATACTGCAGAATCAGTGCAAAAGATCAAATGGCGTTGTATGAAGACTTTCTTTTTATGGTGTAAAGAGGAGGGTATAGAGGATGCTGGACAGATTTTAATTTTTTTTTTCTTCTTTACAAGTTTAGTAGCAGCTCTCTTTAGTTGGTTTTTTTGGGTCAATGATGTAAATCTTTTTGGCGGTTGCCAGCATACCCTCATTGCTGAGGAATACAACTTTACCTTTATCAAAAAGAAAATTAGTGCTTGCAAAATTATCTCCCCGAAATACTTCATTTCAGCAATTTTGCGTATATGTTGAAGGTTCCCTTAAAGGAATCGTGATGAGTAGCAGATCTGTCACGGTGCAATTATATACACCGCTTTAGCAGAAACTAAAACCTTCTTTTGGATGTTGAATAATGCAGGCACCTAAGGTGTTAAGCCATTCAATAGAAGATTAATGCCTCCATACATTAAATGGATGAATTTCTTATTGTAAAGCAAAATAAATGCTTCACCCTGAACCTCTCAAAATCATTCCAGAGCACAAATAAATGGATAATCTTCAGGCACAACTTTACTCATAATGGATACTATGTTGAGGACAGCGCAGTATTATAAGCAAAGGAGACTGACCTTCAAAAAAATCAGCCATTATATGTTTCCTTAAATGCACACAGAGAAAGCATGATGCATCTCATCAATATGACTTATTTTGCAAGGCACTTATGATGATAAGGAACTGAATGATCAGAAATTAATAAGAATGAAATCCATGGAAATGTCTTGATCTGCTAGCATCAAGTGATGGGTCGAAAACATTTGGATCAACATGGAGATCCATTCATTTCACTGTCAACTCATTTAGGAACTATCAGAGCAACAAGTTCCAGTATTGAAGGGTAATATACTTGAGGCTATAGACTATGAATCTTCAGCATAACCCAGCCCATCTCTTAAAGTTCAATGCTGCCTCTCTCTTTTTCATCTGAGATTCTGACTGGAATTTTGGAGCCTTCCCCTTGTAGAGTGTTTTGTGGTATTTTAAGAAGAGGGTGCGATATTTATACTTGTCAATAAACATATTACCTTTCTCCATCATCTCTACGACTTCAATTGCTCGAACAAAAAAACCACCTCTAACAAATGTATAAAGCACAGCATCTAACAGTTCCTGATCAAACTTCATTCCACTAGAAAAAGCAAGAGACTTCATTTCACCCCATAGTTCCGTCACCTCGACATATTTTCCACCAATGGCAGCATAACCTGTGACCAGAGAATGAAAAGTTTGTGCATTTGGAGAATGGTCCAAACTCCTCATCTTCTTAAAAGCCTTTTCGGCATCTTGCATCAACCTCTTTTTGCAGAAGAAGTGAATTACATTATTCCAATCATGAACTCCATAATCTAATTTTTGCCCTTCCTTGATTTCATGCAAAAGCGTCACCATTAAACTAGCTTCACCTCCTTCTGCAGACCCTTTCACCAATTTCTCAAATTCTTGATGACCAGCTCTTGGTATCTTAGCCTCTTTCATCTCCTTGAACAGGTCAAGGGCCCCTTGAGAGTCCTTCTGTATCACCCTGGACTGGATCAATACTTCATAACAGCTTGCATCTATCTGAATCCCAGCTTTACGAGCATCTCTAAGCAGTGATGCAACTTCCCCCGCTCGATTCTCTTTACAGTATGCTTTCAAAAGAGATGCATAAACAGAAGAACCAGTTCTAACACCAGCCAATCGCATTTCATCCAGAAGGTCATGTGCCTGATCTAACCATCCAAGTGAAATACAAGAGTTTATCACATGAACCAAGGCAGAATCATCAACTGAAACTGGAGAATCTTCTTTCTCTGCCTTAATTAGAAATTCTGTAAGATCTTTTGTTCTCCCAGCTTCTAAGAAAGCCTTTACCAATTTAACATATAATTTCTCAGTAGGCTGGAGAATACCATCTTCAGTTGTAATAAATTCAATTTGCTTCTGCAACTTAATTACCAAGACATCAAGTAAGTTTTTAGCAATGGTTTGCAGTTTTGAAAACTTTCTGTCCCTACAGAGATCTTCATATGATACCAAACTTTCTGATTCATCTGGCTTTCGATGATGGGCATCCTCGGGAAGAACATTTGAACACAATGTATCGCCACTTCTAGAAACCTCAAGAAGCAAAGTAGCTATACCAAGAGAATTTTTAGCTTTCTCTGCCTTGCGAAGCATTTCTAGAACCATGTGGGATGTAGATTCAAGATCTCCAAACTTCAGAAAGCATGAAAGCAAACAATTATAGAACTGACGAAACTGGATCTCCGACACATTAGGGGCCTCTTCCATGTCTCTCTTAAGCTTCTTGAGCTCCTCCTTTCGTCCATTCTTCTCATAAATATGAGCCATTATGATTAGTAAAGTAGCATCAGCTTTCAAGTTGATTCGAGGCATCATGTCGAGGAGCTGCTCAGCTTTTCTAGTGGTTCCAAACAGAAGACATCCAGCTAAAGCAATGTTGAAACAAGTAGCATTAGGCTTCATGAAAAGCAGAAATTCGTTGCTCTTTTTACGGGGATCAACTCTTCCGTCCTGGAATAAGTAACCTATTTCAAGGACCAATTCAACAGCAAGGTAGGATCCAGTAGAGGTCTGTGACATATAAGCCAGGATTGCAGACCACGCACTCACAGGTGGATACTTCTCTGTTTCCACAAGCTTCCTTAAAAGAGTAGATGCGGGAATAGGTGATCCACATTTGGCAAAAGCTAAAGAGAGATATATAAGAGTATTCTTCTCAAGCAAGTCATGCTTGTTCTTCTCAAATGCTTGTTCAACCAAGCCATAAGCCCTGTCCAGCTGTCCAAGATCTGAGCTTTCAGCACTGGCTGCTAGAAGTTTATTAACAATTGATTTTCTAGGAAACCCTTCCATTTGCATGTGCCTCTCATACACAGTCCATGCATCATCAAGTTTATTTTCATCAATATCATTTTCTAACTCTTCAGACATTTTACCAAGGTCTTGAGCCTGGACAAGGATTGTCCCAGCAATGGTAGAAAATGGAGCAGTCTGAGCAAACACAGTGCGGTCGACTCCACCCTGAATCTCTATGTTACCCCCAAAAAAGCCAACGGACCGATTGACATTCTTACTACTCCAATCAGACTGACTTGTGTGTCTGAAAACTATATAATCACCATTGACAGCAAACAACCGAAGCAAAGAATAAGGGAAAGCTGTCATCCTAAAGTTCAACTTCTGGAGAGTGATCATTTTCTCCAAGTAGCATTTCTAGCTCTTTATTTCATGCTGAATGTTGGCTGACAAAGGAAATAATATTAGAGATTAGTTATTAAGTTCTTTTTCATTTGTAAAAAATATTTTACCAAGTTTTCTGCCATGCTAACCTTACCTCAGGAATGGACAACACTCACACAGATATAAGAGCTATTTTGAATTCATGGATTTCAGATGCTACAGTTTGATGCTGAGAAATTGAATTTGGTTGTATGAATCACTACGAATAATTGAAAGGATGCTATATGAGTTGATTTCAATTTAAGCGGTTAAAACTTGCAATAGAATGATAAATATTGCACTTTTTATGGCATTACTCTTTTCTTCTTCTTTTATATAAAAAGAATATCAGTAAACAGATTAACATAGGAACCAAATAAAAACGCATATTAACTTATAAAAAATATCATGATGAATCATACAAATTGGAGTTAATTTCTTTATGCAGTGAAAGCAGACACCGAGCTCCAATTCATAGTTCAGGTTTTACCACTAAGAGGCATGCTAAAAGTTTGCGCAATAAATTGATTAATAAGAGACCTTTATATAGACTATTTCTCCTTTTTCTTCTTATATTAAGAAGGTTTGAGAGTAACTAACATGGGAAGTAAATAAGAATACAAAATTAACTTGTGAAAAAAACTCATAAATAAGCATCTCGATTCTTTCTTTATGCAGTGATAATAGTCAGTGACTATGACAACCCCAATTCAGAATTAGTGTTACTATTAGGAGTATGTTGAAAACCCGCAATATAATGACAAAGATTACACCTTTATGTCCTTAAACTGCTTGTTTTCTTCCTTATCTATTAAGGATATCTCAGAATACTGACTAGTGTTAATTACATGGATGGTCACTCAAATTATGGAAAAATTATTCAGTAAAGTCGCTTTTGTTCCTTCTGCAACAACAAAATCACTCATATTTTGCCAATTATCCCACCAAATTACTCATTCCGGAAAAGTACATTTTCTCAATATCCCACAAAATCACTCCTGCGGATCAGCTTGCTAATCTCTCAGCTACCTCTTCCAAGACGATGAAAACAAATTATCTATCCAAGCCAAACTGAACATGAAATCGTACAACAGTAATTAACCGAAGAATTCATGTCACATGCATTTCCTCAGGTCACATCCCCCTCACAATCAAAGACACATGGTTCTGGGGTTCAAAGCTACAGTATGAAAAACCAGATACAGATTTGAGTAAAGATAGAAAAGAATTTGTGTCTAATCAATCCAATGGCACAATGGAATATGCTGTCAGCAAATCCCATAACTTAAAACTAGATAGAAGGAAGATAGACATAAAATTAACTTTATTATCACCAATCAACTCAATATCCGCATTCACAATAGATCAATGTTTCTGTATCACATGCCAATTCAGACATCCACAACTTAGCAACTAAAACCTCTACGGCCGTCTATAAGATAAGAACTTGAAATCGAAAAAAGAAGGCGAAAAAATCCAAAGAAATATTCAAGAACCCACAACCCAGTAAGACAATGACAGCACAGTCTGGCTGAGTGCTGACAGCAAGCGAAAGAATACCATAGCTTAAGAAAGAAAGCCAGACACCAACAAGCATCATAACCCAAATTGTTCCCCAATATCATTAGCAACTCCAATAACAGTAACAACTCAGCACTAAACAAACAGAGGAAGTGCTTTTTCCAGTGATAGAAAACAATGATTTTGTCATATAATAGGCAAAACATGAGTGTTTTTACTGAGTAATTTTCATAACTTGAATACATACCCAACCCAGTATAATCCCACAAATGGGGTTGGGGAAAAAGAGGAAAATATACGCATACCTTACCCCTACCTCGTAGATATACAGTATAACTTGGATAACCATCCAATTAGCTAATAATAATGCATATTAATTAGGGGGAAAAAATCAGAAACTGAAGCTGATTTCTTTCTTTATGCAGTAACAAAAAGAACCCATAAGGGAAAAATCCTCAGTTCACAGATTCTTGTTTTACCACTAAAAAACATGCTGAAAATCAACAATATAATGAGCAAAACCGCACCTTTTAAGGCATTTTTTTTCTTTTTTTCATTTTCCACTTTCAGAATACTGATAAACAACTCATTGGGGGTTGGGGAATTAGGCCAAAAGAGAAAAAGGGAACTCACCGGTCGATTTTTTTTTGGTCGGAGAGAAGCAAAGTTCGCCGGAGACGAAGAAAGAAGACTGTGACGGTGTAACATAAACTTGATGTTGGGCCTCTCCAAAGAGAATAACTTTGGGCCAAAATCAAGAAGATGTTCTATTTTTGGGCTCGTCTTTAATTTTTGTATCTCGTAATAGAGAATTTTTTCATAAGACATACGTTTGTATTTTATATCACAATATCTCATAAGTTATGTCCTGGCATGATTATTGTTTCTAAAGAATTTATATCGTATGAAACGTAAGTTCAATTGTTAAAAGACAAAAATTAAAGATCAGACTATTTTAAGCGTGAAATGTACATTTTTATTCAAAAATTAACGTAAATAATAATAGAGCTGCTTTTAGATATGCAACTTAACTTTAATTTAATTTAGTTGAATTTTGGCAGACTTTAAACCCTCCTCCTTCTCAAGAAGATTTGTGCATTTTGAAGTTTTGAATTGTCAAAACCTAACTTCATATCTTAATATCTCAAATATGAATTGTCAAAATCGAAACACATTATCGCGAATAACACCTCTAGTGCCTTGTTTACCAGGGTTAAAGCCTAAAGGGGGCAAGTGCACATATAATTTCTCGAAGGATCACTATTTAAGACATAGCTAAAAATTATAGAATATTTAATATTTAGCCACCTTTAAAATCAATTTCAAATTTATGGGATTATAGTTGAAAATAGGGATGAAGTTACAAATGTTATATATACGAGTATAAAGTTGGGACTATCAAGTCAAATTTCAAACAAAATGTTTGAAGTTTAACATATTGCTTGTATAGTTTGAATTTAAGATAGTTAAGTGTGACATTGATATTAGCTCAAACATAATTAAAGTTGATACAATTGTGTATATTCTTTATTAGTTTATATAGCTAAAATACACTCTATTAATGTATATGTACACACCTATACACAACATATACATTAGTGTGCATTTTGGCTACACTAATAAATTAATCGATCGAACATTATATATACATGTAACTTTCCCTAAGAGAATTATCAATACTAACAAGCTATTAGCCTATTTCAAACCAACTAATTTCAATCCAAATAACTTTTGGACGGTCAATGACCCGTTTATTTATGGAAAAATTATGCAGAATAGCAAACATTTAGCCTATATTAGGTATTACAGCTACAGTTCAAGAAAAATGTAATTCACGGCAACAATTTCCCAAATTCTTGTTATTCACCTGATTTGTATAAATCCAAAATTTGTATAATTCAGTTCCTAATTGTATAAATCCAGAATTTTATATATGCTTATCCTAGCTATTTGTATGTGATCTATGAAAAATTCATAATAAATCACCCTGTTTGTATATTGGCAAGCGAAATATATAAACAGAGTTCTGAAAAATTTCTAAATGTATAAATACAGAATTTGCATATATTTACTTGCATATTCACAAGCGAATAATACAAACGGACAAAAATATACAAACTGCAGCCTCCATAGCAAACAAAACTATAGCTTAAAGCGCAATTATCGAAATATAACTAGCCTTATTATGTCTATTATGTTTGCTATTTCCAAAATTTTCTCTTTATTTATCAATCACGCTCATTTTAAAACGTCCAAAGTATATAGTTGGCCAGTAACATTGTGTTAATATAATTTTGATACTAATTAAATCTATAGTACCCTAATTATACATAACTTTCAGCATGTCTCAACTGACCATAGAATTTGCCGGGAGTAATTAAGCAATTAATTAAAATGGTTTAACATTTGTAACATGACCAAAAGCATGGTTCCATTTTTATAATACATTCATGTAACTCTTGCTTTCTGCGATAGATTTGCATAATAAAATTTTCCAATATTTGTACAAACATAATAAAACCATCCATTTTGAATGACACTTTTTTTAATTTTTGGTCATTTTTGGCAAATTAAGTGTGTGTTACCCTTTTTAATTTTCTTTAAAACACCTAGCTAGGTAGAGAGAGGTTGGTAAGTTGTAACTAGTAAGTAACGAACTCTCTTTAAATTTTCTTGAATCCATGATCTATCCTTGGTTCCTCTGATGGTGAAGAAGATGTCGACTTTAGATCTGAGCAGATCGAAGAAAAGGAAGAGAAATAATAATGAGAGGGTACTATTTAAGTTCAAGAATTTTGGTGAACAAGGGTTTCCTACAGAGTTTATTGGGTGCAATTTTGACCAAAATGTCAAACTTCTTTTGGAATTTGCACAACAAGAAAATGGGAGTATTTGGTCATTTCAATTGGAAGTTCATAGACATCCACCAATGCATGTGTTCCTATTTGTTGTTGAAGAACAAGTTGAATTGTCACTCAATCCTCATTGCAAACATTGTCAATACATAGGTAATATCATTATTCGAGAATTATTACAAATTAACGTGAAGTTTAAATTTTGAATATGTCACTGAGAAGAAGATTAATAGTATATTTGGAACATGTAGTGATTAGTAACTTCATTTGTTAGGTTTGTGTTTGGTGAAATTAAATCAAATACTAAGTGAAATTACTAAAATTATACTTAAAAATTTAAAATTTGCTTAGCATGACTTTATGTTACACTTGCACAATTCTCCTCATCTTAGTATTTTGCATATTCACTTAATACTTTTGTAGAATTCTCCTTTCGAAAATTTATCGATATACTGCCTACTTTAATTTGTTATAGCAGTTAACTTGTTATATTGATTATATATTATCCCACTTATCATAGATCGTCAATATTGATGGAGCCATTAATTCTTGTTCAAAACAAAAGTAAGAATTGAACGGATTGCATGACTTATTAACATAACTCATTTAAACCTACCTTAATTTAATTCAACAAGACCATATGATAACATCCATACACTATAAATCGAATTCTCTTAATTTCTTCACATGTTTACCTTTTCAACTTTCTTAATGAAAAAACTAGTTCTGCCACCAATCGACTATCAGTGTATAAAAGTTAAACTCATCAAATACTTATGCATGACCAAAATGTAACTCAGGATGGGGCAACAATTTGATGTGCAACAAGAAATACCATTTCCTATTGCCTTCAAAGGACACAATTGGAGCTTGTGTAGAAGGAGGAGGTGGACAAAAATACAAATACAAAACAGATAGTAATAATATTATTGGTGGAGAAATAATTAAAAGTAAGTTGAATTTGATAGAAATAGAAGGTCATATGATGCATGGTGTGTTTCATTCTAATGGTTTTGGGCATTTGCTTTGTGTCAATGGATCATTGGAGACTCCTACTTCTTCTGACTTGCCTGGCCACTCTATTATGGACTTTTGGGATCGACTTTGCATTGGACTTCGTGCTAGGTTTGTCATCATCAACTTAACTATTATTCTCGTTTCATTTTATTTGACGCTGTTTAATTCAACATGAAATTTGACAAATAGAGAACTTTAAAATTTATAGTCTTAAACTTGTTAGGACATATTTGTAATCAGGGGTGGAGTTAGAGTGCCGCAATTGAGGTTCCTTCGAACCCCATTGATAATACACTACATACATTATATATACAAGATCAACAAATTTTATGCAGTATATGTTAATTCCTTGTTTTCTTCCCGCGTTTACTTTTTTTTAATATTTCGGCTCTACTACTATCAAGTAAAATAGAAAGTTTAAAGTTACTTTATTTTGAAATATAGAAAGGTATCTTCCGTTTTTAAAACATTATAAACAAATGTCACATAAAACGAAACAAAAATATATTAGTAATGGTTCGAACTATTTTGCTATAATATATAGTGGCATCTTAAACTATGTGTTCAATCAAGCAGACATCACATACAACAATACACAAGGAGTATCTTTTATGCTTGTACGCACCCATTAGCCTTAATCATCGTATTTGTCTGAATTATATATCCTTCATTTTCCTTTACATTTGCACTTAAAGTCATAAATAACTCCTTACTTTTTCGAAAAGTCAACAAATTTAGATTACCAAAACGACTAATATTTGAGATCGAAAACAATAATAATTTCTCTATGCTTTGAAGGAAAGTAAGCTTAAGAGATATCTCAACAAAGAAAGGCATGGATCTAAGACTACTCAACACATTAGCCTATGGTGAACCATGGTTTGGTCGATGGGGTTACAAATTTGGGCGTGGAAGCTTTGGTGTAACACAAGAAACATATCAAAATGCAATTAATGCCTTACAAAACATGCCATTAGCCTTATTAGCACATCATCATGTAGGGATTATAAATATAAATGAGATATTAATAGTGTTATCAAGGTACCAAATGTTATCTGGTCACTCATTAGTCACACTTTGTGATGCCTTTCATTTCATGTTGGAGCTCAAATCAAGGATTCCAAAGGAAAACAATAATCTTACCTCATGTTATCCAGGGTTATTGGTTGACACCACTTGTAGATGGTCACCTAAACGCGTTGAAATGGCTATTAGGGTTGTTGTGGAAGCCCTAAAAAGGGCTGAATTGCGATGGGTGTCTAGGCAAGAGGTTCGTGATGCTGCTCGTGCTTATATTGGTGATACAGGGTTGCTTGATTTCGTGCTCAAGTCATTAGGGAATCATATTGTTGGGAAGTATTTGGTTCGTCGATGCTTAAATCCAGTAACTAAAGTTTTGGAATATTGTTTAGAGGATATATCTAAAGCATTCCCTAAACAAGATCAAGGTTTTAGGGTTAATGACTCAAAAGGGAAACAACAATACAAAATTACATGGGTGCAACTTATGAAGGACATATACTTCTTGTACAACAATATTCTAAAAGAGCATAAGGGATTAATGTCAAATTACACGGGCGTTTTTGCTACAATTCCAACAGCTTCTAGAATAATACTAGACACAAAGTACTTCCTCAAGGAATATAAAGAGGTATCAGAGCCAGATTCAAGAATTGAAGCAGACAAATCCAAGATTTATTGCGCGATTATGTTGGCAACCAAGGATGGATTTGGTGTAGAAGAAAAGGTAATGACCCCATTTGAGTGTTTCTTAATGAGAAAAGATGTCACATTTGATGAGCTAAAAATTGAAGTTGAAAAAACTTTTGGGGATATGTATTTGGGATTAAGGAACTTTACCACAAGATCAATTAACAACTTGATGAGCCCAATTAGTGGAATAGAATTGGTGTTTAATGTGATGAAACCAGGAAGCAAGATTGTTTTAGGAGGGGTGATAATGTCAAATAATGATGATATTAATATTAATGGAGGGATATTTGAAGGAATTAAGAATAATATTATTGTGGATTGTCTTTGTGGGACTAAAGATGAAGATGGTGAAAGGATGATTTGTTGTGATATTTGTGAAGTTTGGCAACACACTAGATGTGTTAATATCCCAAATCATGAAGCAATTCCAGATATATTTCTTTGTAATAAGTGTGAGCAAGATATCTTACAATTTCCATCATTACCTTAGATAATTTCTATCAACAAAAGAAGAAAAAAAAAAGGATATAATTAATATATGTTTACAACTATTTATGCATTACTACTATTTGAGTTGGAAGAAATGTTTTATGGATATAAGAGATATATTATTCTAATATCTTGTTGAAATTACATGATATTTCTATATATCATCTATCTTGTTTGATTGTACATGTGCAAGTCATGTTATGCTATATATATACACGTATAAAAGTGGTTTCTGACTTATATATGCAATATAATTTTTGTGTATACATATAATGTACATTATAATAAAGGATGTTTAAGTTACTATCTTTCGATTTGTGTGAATCCACAATTGATATATATTTGTCCCATCGTCCAAATTTAATTACCGATATTAGCTTAAATATATAAAACTTATATACTGATCATGTATATTAATGTATATTTTTATTTAAATATAAAAAAAACTGTATATTTGCTGATTATTTTATAAACCAGATCACCTAAAGACGTTGTACTATAATTGTACAACAATTAGATCAATAACTAAATGAAATTGCAAATAATAATCACAAAAATGTAATTACACAATTGTGTATATATATAATTAAAATTAAAATTCCACAATAATTTTGTTTTACAATTTAAAACAAACAAGCATATAAATATTACACTTATCAAAACAAACAGGGGAACTAATTTAAAGGACAAACCCGTGCATTAAGCATCCTGCATTCACTTAGGATCCAAGTTAAAGCAATATTTTTGTTTCAATCTTAATGTATCATGATTCAGTCTCATGAAGACTAAAAGATGATAATATAGAAGAAATTCCAGATGTGACAAGTCCAGCCCAAAGAAATGCAGCTGGAATATACATCAAGTTTAAGAATTTATGAAACTTTGAGTTATTATCATTATAAACAATTCTATTTAAATCCATAGTTGCACCTAATGCTGCACCAGCTCCTATTGCTAGTACCCCAAATATAATCTGCATCAATTTCAAAAAAAAAAAATATTAATCTCTATAGGAAATATTTTTTTCAAAAGTCCGTTTGATTAATCTTTGAAACTAAACTGAACTAGATTGAATCTTCTTATGTCAATATGATGAAAAAGGGGAAAAGTATATAAATCTCATACATATGGGGGCTAATAATTACATCTTATCCCAGAAGTTTCCACAATTACAAAAAAATCAGATTTTTCATTGTTCTCTGATACATTCCTTGGTTGTTCGATACATTGCAAATGATACATTATTTAATGGGAGGAATATATCCGAGAGGGGATAGGGATGTATCCTAGAGGGAATATTGATGTATCCGAGAGGGGATGGAGATGTATCCGAGAGAGGTTTAAATGGTATGAAATTTTAGAAATTATGATAGCTTAAGTTGTGTGTTTATGTAATTTTTCCAAAAAATATATTTTAAAATAATGACTAAAGTCTACACAATTTGAATCTCGAAAAGCGAAAAATGTTACATAAATTAAAACAGAAGGAATCATTAACTTGTAAACTTTATCTTCTTTTCTTTTTTTAACAACATAATTCCAAACCCTAATGAAAAAAAAAAGGTGGGCAGTGTGTACGTTAGACTTTTCTTAAGCGGCGCAAACATTTGAAAAAGTGAACAACTAAATAAGAAAAATATAAATGTCGATAATAAGTGATATCATCATATCATGATGGATATTAAAGGTCGTTGGGTAGCTACAACATGTTAAATTATACTAATATTATAAATATTCACTTAACAGTATCAATGTATGATAAATTAATTTTTTAGGAGAAAATTAATTCCTTGATAATTATTCTAATTATATAGATACTTACCTTGTCACCATAGAGTTCAATCTGTCGAAAAACCTTATGATTTATCATAGGCTTCTTTCTTATTAGAAAATATATTGCAAAAGGGATATGCAACAAATTGTAGATTGATCCTGCTATCACAGCAAAAAGTGTATAACTGCAATAAAAAAAAAACACATCATGAGTTCTGACAAATTCAGTAGCGGTAATTCAAACTATATGTATTCTTATTAAGAAATTTATTGAATACGCATACAAAAGAATCCAAAATTCAGTTACTAACATTTGATGTCAACAGTATATTTAGTATAGTATCACAAGAGGGGTCTGGAGATGATAGAGTGTATGCAGACCTTATTCTGATTCCATCTTGTAGAGATAGAAAGGTTGTTTTTGAAAGACTCTTGGCTCAAGAGCAATAAATCAAAACAATTTACGAAAAAAGGAAATATGATAGTGAAAAAGACACGCACAACTTACAAGAGAAACAATACAGAACATTCATGGAAAAAGAAAAACAAAAAGAAAAATACTATGACAGACATTGTGCTCCAGACTTTTCCTCAACCTATCCCACGAAGGACACAACCTTAAATAGGAGGATATAAAGATTACACATATTCTAATATTTAAAATCCATAAATTCAAATTCTAACTTTGTCTATAAAGAGTAGGATATGATCATAGTGTTTTGATTACATCTTTTGAATATTAGAAGATCACAATATAATATTTTAAATTCTGACGCCATCTCGAAATAATTTTGATTACCTGTATGATCGATAATAATCATATGTAAGTCTAGCTCCATCATCAAAAGTAACTACACTAGTTTGTAACACACCCCATGACACAAGAAGAGTAGCACTCGTTATAACTCTAGCACCTAATGTAATTAATGGTATTTTTGATGATGATGAAGAAGAAGATTTTACATCAAAATTATATTGAGGATAATTTGACATTTTAATTCCCTAATAAACTCAAAATTAAGCTTTTAAGTCTATCATATAATTCCTTAATATGATGGTCCTTTTATATATACTCTCTACAAGAAGCTTCAATTATTAATTTAATTGTTTTTTTAATAGTCATATGTTTTGACCCAAAACGTCGATTAAATCGGAAATTGTCTTTTTGTTTTCTTAATTAGTGTATGTTATTGTTGGATTATTGGAAAAAAACAAATAGATAGTGTCTTAGATTGTTTTATTTTCTTTAATTTGCCGGCCACGTATGTTAATTGGAGTACAAGTTAATTGGTTCAAGGTTTTTACATTATTTTGATGTTGTGCGGGGCTTTGTCTATTTCCAAGATGATTTAATTATCGTTGTACTCGTAACTGGATTTACAATTAAATATCTAAGGTCGTTAGATTCATTGATATTCGTACTCAACACACATTACTTTTGTATGTACGTCCACCAAAGACATTGTATGCTTTTAGCTTTAGCCAATATGATTTTAGAAGGAAAAAAAATATTTAATTAGACAAATATTTCAGTCATATTTACTAATTCTCCTTACAATTTGAAATAAATATAAATTGTCTCACTAATTAATATTTTAATACTAGATTTCAGGTCATGAGATATACTTAGATACATGTATTTTTGCTACCAGATACATTAATCGGGTGAGAGGCGAGCGAGAGAAGGAGAGAGACAAGCGAGATAGAAGGGAGGCGAGTGAGATAGTCTATGTATCTCATATACAATCAAGTTATATACATGTATCTTGGATACCCGATACATTATGAAATATAGATACATAGAGAGAGAAGTCTTAGTTGTCCACTACCTCACTCTTTTTTTTCCTATCTCAAGGGAGTTCAGTTCCCCAAGGATGAGCGAGAAAGTCAGATACACGTGAATTCACTTGGATACAATGTATTTGAAATAAATTACACTTACTTTTGACCTCATTTATCCAAAATACATGTATCTAGACACGTCTAATACATGTATTTGAAATTCAAATTCTGATAAGATTCGTAATATTGTAAATTCGTGTGAAGTAAAATAGTTTACTCCTAAACTAGTGGAAGTTATGTTGTTTCACTAAAGTTTAAGACTTGTATCCTTATATACCTACAATTTTTTTCTTCCGTATTTTATCAATATGAAATTTCCTTAAGAGTATCACAAAACCAAATATATTTTTCCAATTGGTTACTGGCAAATGTTTAGTATTTATATTTTTATATATATTTGATTGAAAAAGTGAGAAAAGAAAAAATAGTAGAATTTCACCCAGATTAAATAGGAAACTTTCTAATATTTCAGTGAAAATCTATTTCTTATCATGCATTTTTTTTATTGAGTGGGTTCAATGAAAAATGAATGAAAAAAAAATTCATATTTCATAACACAAATTTTTTATTAATTCACAATATAAAAAAAACATATATTTCTAATAGTGATATGTTAAGGTATTCCTATAGAGTAATATTTTTCGAACCATATCATAATTAATATTATTATGAGAAATCAATGTATCAAAAATGTCAATATGAGATCTTATTTTAATTCAATACGTTAATTGTCTTTTTGTTACCTTTAATTTAGTCTGTTTATTATTGGATTCTTGGATAGTACAAAAAAATTAGTTTGCCGGCTACGTTTACAAACACAAATTATTTGCAACCATCCAAGTCAAGTAGAAATTAGGGCTACTCACAAAGGGCATAGGTGTGTAAATATGTTAAATCAACATTTAAACTAATAAGATATTTATCATCAATTTTTGGTTAATCATTAAAGAAATTAACTGTTTCATTTTCAATTTAATCGATAAGAAATGTTTTTCTAGTTTTTTTTTTTTAATTTATCGGTTCAATCAAAATTCGCAAAACTCTAGCATAATGTACATCTTGTAAACGCATACAGAGGCGGATTTAGATATTTTATTTTCTTCATTTTAGTTTTTCAATTGTAATTGTATTTTTACCATCAATAAGTAATCTTTCATCCTTAACTAGAGGACTTGAATACGTAATCATCTTTGTTAGTGAGTGTTTTACCTCCAATATTAAAAAAATTCAATACAAATACGAATTTATACGAATTCCTATATAACTACTGAATACCGGATGAAAAATAAATAAATAAACGTCCGAATTTTGAAGTTTCCCACTATTCTTCTCTAGTTATTTTATAACTTTTTGCTTTTGTCCATATAGGCACAAGTTGAAAATAAAAATATTGTTCTAGAAATCCTATAATAGAAAAATATTAATTATGTAGAGGTGACAAAAAATGGCTTAATGTGATGTGATTAATTGACCTTAAAATGGAATCTAAGTTTTTGTAATTATTCACTTGTAATTAAGAAATCAAATTAATTTATCGTATACTTTAATTCATCTGGCATTGCGTTATTGATAGCACATATCGCCGTTATAATTTTCCATTAGTTAGATAACAAATTTATAAGAAAGAATTGAAATTGTTAGGAATTAAGATTACTTAAAAAAGCAACATATTGAGGTTTTTAAAAGCTCTAGATATGTTGAGTTATTACAAACAGTTACCATATTATATATACGTCCTCCGTCCCAATTTATACAATCGGAATTTTGAAATTCAAATAAAAAAAATTTGTTGACCTTATATGTTTTCATATATTATTTAAATATCTTAAATTTTATTAATTATTGTATTTCATAGTACTTTTTACGTAATTTTTAAATATAAAAAAACTTATTTTAAAAATATTTAAAGATTTCACGCCTGATTATATTTTTTGATTCTCGAAATTCAAATCGTGTCACGTAAATTGAGACAGTGGAAGTTCTCCAGGGAAATAAAAGAGACTTGGAGTCTATATTTGGGCCTTCAAATTTTGCAGCACCAAAGTCTTGATGTCCTTTTGATATCAAAGCCCAAAACTCTTATCCCAGTTACTCTGAATTTTGTCAAACTCGATAATCGAAAAAATTAAAGTTTGGCAAAATTACATGATGCGGCGTATTTTACTCTGTTGTTACTTTTTATAGTCACACTTCTAAATAATTACAACACATTATATAGAGAAATTATGTAATTTTATAACATATATACACTTATATACGTATCAGTGTATCTAAAAATCCTAGATGTCATTGCCCACCCCAACCCTCACGTATTCACCATTGTTGGGGTTCGTAGGCGTTTTAGTTGGCCACCGGAAAATTGGTTGCATACACACTTTACATATGCTTCACATACAATTTACCTCCCATACAATTAGCCAATATTTTGTACGTACAATTTAAGTTGACCACACATAAAGTTGATGTCTTCACATACATCCAAGTTATGTTTTGTAAACACATACACACATAAACAATTGGACACACATACATTTAGCTTATGCTTTGAAAACATATACGTAATATACATATATACAGTTACAATCAGATATTGTATTCGCGCAATTTCAATTAGAATGAGATGTTGAATGTGCATAGATACAATTTTTTTCATTTTATGTACAATTGGATACACATACATTTAGCTTCTGCCTTGAAAACATATACATAATATACATATGTACAATTACAATATTCACGCAATTTCAATTAGAATGAGATGTTGTATGTGCATGGATACAATGTTTTTCATTTTTTATTTATATGTGCTTCTTTCCCCTTTTTTTAAACACAACTACCTCTTTTTATATTGGCTAATATAATGATGCTTCTATATATTTAGATAAATCTTCACATTCTTGAGTTAGTTTAGTGAAAATTGTATATACATATTTATGATTGAGCATTGAGATACATTATTAGTACATGTTATCAATATCCATACACAAGATTCTTAAAACATGGGAATAATATTGCAAAAAAATAAGAGAAGTTGTTGACTAAATACAAATGCAGATGAATACTTGCACAAACAAAACAAGAAAGAATTTTACATTCTTTTGGTTTTTTTCTTCTTTTTTCCTTTTTTTGTTTCTGGTTTGCTGTTTAACCACTGTTGCTTGAACTACTTCCAGGCATTAGTTCTCTCAACATAGCCACAACTTGTAACATATTAGGCCTTTTTGATGCAAAATCCTCTACACATTGCATTGTTATCTCTAAGTACCTTACCATCTCTTTAACTTCTAAAACTTCTGCTTCATCATTTCCTTTAGTCACTGATAACAATTCTTGATCAATTACTTCCATTGATTTCCCTTCTCTTACTTTCATTTTCACCCATCCAACCAAGTTTGTGTCACCAAAATCTTCCTTATCTGTTGGCCTTTTCCCTGTCAAGAGTTCAAGAAGCACGACTCCAAACGAGTACACGTCTCCCTTTGCTGTGCACCTAAAACTCTGATAGTACTCAGGTGGTACATATCCTGGTGTTCCTGCTAGTGTGGACACACTGAGGTGTGTGTCCAGTGCGCTTATCAGCCTTGCCATGCCAAAATCAGACACCCTGGCGTCCATTTCGTTGTCTAATAGCACGTTGCTTGACTTCATGTCGCGGTGTATGATGTGTGGGATGCAGTTGTGGTGAAGGAAGCAGAGTCCTTTGGCTGCTCCTCTGGCTATTTTTTTCCTTTCCTCCCATGTTAGGATCCTTCTATCGGGCATTCTTGTCTTCCCGTGAAGCATTTCTTCTAGGCTGCCATATTCCATGAACTCGTAAACTAGAAGTCTTTCCTCACCAACCTTGCAGTATCCTAAGAGGGGTACAAGGTTCTTGTGCTTGATCTTTCCTAATGTCTCCATTTCAGCCATGAACTCTCGGTCGCCTTGGCTACTTAACCTGATAAGTTTCTTGATTGCAACACTTGATCCATCCTTCAATGTTGCCTTGAAGACTTCTCCAAATCCTCCAGAACCGATGAGGCTTGCAGCTGAGAATCCATTCGTGGCCTCGATAAGTTGTGAGAACTTCAGCTTCCTAAGTTGTCTTTGGAAAGTTGCTACATTGATGCTTAATGGCTCCTTCTCTTTGTCAATCTTCCATGATGAAGCTGCATAGTTAGTACTCAAACTACTAAGCATTTTCACTCCTTCAGCCTCTCTACGCCTTGCACGCATAGCAATAGCCCAAACAATCAAAATGCATACTGAGGCAATGGAAATGAGAACTCCAAGAACAATGCTATTAGCCAATGATGCAGCTGAACTTCTTTTTCCTCCTCCTCCTCCGTCTCCAGTATTCGTGGCAGGTGAGTTATACTGGCATTCAGACAATGGAACCCCACAGAGTCCTGGATTGTTTGCATATTGGCTTGCAGGAAGTGTACTAAGCTGACCCCTTTGTGGAATTTGTCCTGTCAATTCATTATTAGACAAGTCAATCTGCACCAAGAAAGAAAGAAGTGAAAACGAATCAGGAATTTGACCCTGCAATCTGTTATGTGATGCATCAAACACTCCCAAATTCTTTAGCCCTCCAAGTGATGAAGGAATCTCTCCTGACAAATGATTATGTGATATAACAAGAACTTGCAAAGCTATCATATCACCAAATTCATCAGGGATTTTCCCACGAAGCTCATTGTACGAAAGATCAAGGTACTCGATAGTCTGATACCGAGTAAAAGCACTAAGAACTGGACCAGAATACAGCCTAGTGAAATCACAACTCTTTAATGATGGAACCTGTAAAAGCCTTTCAGGATGTATCCCATAGAACTCAAGCAATCCTCCAACGCCTCTGCACGAATTACCTACATTTCGGACAAACACCAATGTGTTACCTGATAGAATCCCACTCAATGCTTTAGCCCCTTGCTGCCTACCAAGTCGCGGTGGGATCTCCCCGGTTAACCTATTGCTACTCAAATCCAACCAAACCAAGCTACTACAATTGACTAATTCACTTGGAATCTGACCACTCAAGCTATTATTTGCTAGTTGCAAAACCGCCAGCCTTGAAAGATGGCCAAATTCTTTAGGAATCTCACCACTTAGTCCATTACTTGTGAGAGCAATCCACTCAAGATTACCACAATTAAACAATTCAACTGGAATTTTCCCACTCAAGTAGTTGTTATTAAGTATAAGATTCTTCAAGTTGCTGCATTTTCCCAACTCTGCTGGTATGCTCCCTTGCAAACTATTGTACCAAGCAATAAGCTGCTCAAGATTCTCAAGTTTTCCTAGCTCTGATGGAATCGAACCGTTCAAATAGTTCAAGCTAAAATCAATAGTCTTGAGCTGTGAACATTGAGACAATTGAGATGGAATTGGACCATAAAGTGAGTTATCAGGTGCTCTCAGCTCTTCCAATGATGAAGCTCCAGAGCATAAATCTGGTGGAATCATCCCATTGATCATGTTGGAGCTAAAGTCTACAACGCGGAGTTTCTTGCAATATGAAAGAGAAGCAGGAAATGAACCAGAAATCTTGTTACTACTCATTTGCAAAGACTCTAAAGAAGCTAAATTCTGTAGGATGGAATCAGGGAATGGACCGGTTAGATTATTATTCGACAAATCAAGATTTTGAAGAGAAGAACATGATGAGAATGAATTCGGGATTGAACCAGTGATATTGTTATTAGAAAACTTGAGTTCCACAAGTGAACTACATGAGTTTCCTAATTCAGATGGGATCCAACCGGATAAATGATTCTTAGAAAGATCCAATCTTTGCAAACTTATAAGCTCACCAAAAGAAGCTGGAATTGAGCCAGAGAAGAAATTCTCAGCCAGAACCAATTCTTGAAGTGTTGTACAATTAGATAAAGCAGAAGGAATTGAATCCATTATCTGATTCCCTGACAAATCGAGTCGTAACAATGAATTACAACTCTCAATCTTGATATCAGAAATTGATCCTGTAAGATTATTATAGTCCATTGCAAGATACTGTAACTTATCAGTATGCAACAAGAAATTCTGAGGCAAAGAACCTGTTATGTTATTGAAAGAAAGACTAACATATTCAAGATTTGGACATTTTGCAAAGAAATTCTCAGGTACATAGCCTGCTAAGCCAGTGAATGAAAGTTCAAGTTGTTTCAAACTATAAGGTAACTGAGTTAAAGAGGTTGATGCATTTACATAAAACGAATTCGATGACAGATTAAGGACAGTTAACATATCTAGAGAATTGAAAGGAGAAAAAGAAACCTCTCCAACAAGTTCAGATTGTTGAAGATCAAGATTTGTTACTCTTCCAAGACTATTGCAAGTTACACCATTCCATGAACATGGATTGTTTTTAAGTTGCCATCCTGATAAAACACCAGAAGGGTCTTTTTGTATCATGTTCTTGAATAGCAAGAGTGATTCAGCATCAGTTTTGATGGAGGAAGATACCGCGTTTACGGATGCAAGAATCAAGGAAAAAAACAAGACAATGAGCAATGTTATAGCAGAGTTGGTGTTCATGTTGTCCATGATGCATAGAGAAATAGATAGATAGAAAAAAAAAAAATGAAAGAAGAGAGCTTAGAGAGTAAGCTTTTAGTGAGTGTTGGAAGATGATTGTGTTTTTTTTTGAGAAGAAAATGAATGTCAAAAGGAGTAAAGAGAGTGCTTACTATGATGAGAAAAATTCCTCATAGTGCAAAGTAGAAGAGCTAACTTTTGAAAAAGTAGTTGTCTTTCCTTTTTTTAATTTTGTGTTTTGAGTACAACAACCACCAGTACTCGACGAGAGGGAGTTGCTCGGATGGTAAGCACCCCTCACTTCTAACTCAAAGGTTGCGAGTTCGAGTCACCAAGGGAGACAAAAAGGGGTGGGAGCTCCTAGGGAGGGTAAAAAAAAAAAAAAAAAAACCAGTACTCAGTGTAATTTTTTTTCTGCATCTTTTTTTTTTTGTCATTTCATTTGTAAAATATGAAAAATATTCACTAGTACTCTCATTTAACACCAAAAGTATTATCTTCTAGACTTTTCTCATGACAAAATTGTCAAGTTAAATATAAAAAATATGATACTAATTTCAATTAAGGAAATAGTAAAATAAAAAAAATTCCTAAAGAGATGAAGGATAAATATGGTTCGTCTACCTCATTTTATATGACAATATTATCATTTAGTTCTTTGTCCTCTGAATTCTGATAATAATTTCAATTATAAGAAACTATTGCTTTATAATATTTATATACTTTTCGATATAGACAACATCAATCTAAGAAAGCACAAAGATACAAAGATCATTAGTTGTGTTTTTCACAGAAAATATAAAATTGAACAATTAAAAGAATATCTAAAATCCGAAAAAGAAGCTATTTATAACATACAGATATATAGATTCATTAGTGCCTCTTTGTCTAGATTCCAAAAATAATTATAATCAAAATTTGTTAATAAAAATTTAGAGGAGTCTATACAACTATCAAAAGTCAACCTAATTTATTTTTAGAAAGATTTTAAAAATCAAAATATTTGAATTAAGAATAAAAATTAAATATTTTAACCCTTATCCAAAAAACCAAATTATGATATACGAAAAATTATCTACAAAATGTGTTTTGAGAAATGAGATTATGAAAGAAAAAAATAAACAAAAAATAATAAAGGCCTAAAAGACGGGAGGATTTGACGTTTGGTCAAAAGGGACGTATGTATGGACCACAGACAAAAAGTCTACCCAAAGATCGGTGCCGCTTTAAAAGAGGAAAAAAATGGATTTTTACCAAATTGAATTTGAGTGCGTTTAATAAGATCGAAAATATTTTTTTTTTAAAATAATGAATTTTAATTTTTATCTAATGTTGGAAAGTAAGTAATTTTCTTTAAAAAATTTAATACCATTTTATATGTAATCAACAAAAATAATATAAAGGTAGGAAGGGATGGAGAGTGCGGGTCTTAGAGGTGACGATCAGTGGCGGAGTCAGAATTTTCAATAAGGAGGTTCAAAATTTGAAAAAATAGACACATGAAGTAGCCGAAGGGGGTTCGACATCTACAATATATACTTAAAAAGTTATTTTAACCATGTATATATTATATAATTTTTCGCCGAAGATCGTTCGAATGAACCTCCTAATAGTATGGTGGCGACTTGACGGAAATAGATTGCTAAGAGATAAAGGTGCAATAAACACAAAATATTGGTACTTTTTGAATTCGTTTTCCTATTTTTTTATGAACTTGTCTTTTGAGAGAAAATATTTTTCAAAAATTTTGTTCAACCAAATATGTAAAATTAAGCGATTGAATTGGCGTAAATTTAAATTAGTTCATAAATAAATAGAAAAGATAAAAAAGAAAAAGGGAAAATAAAATGAAGTGTGTTTGATCCAACGTGAAATGTGTCATATCTTGTCAGTGAGCGTGAGAATGTTCCCTTTCCTACAGGATCTTATAGAATGTCCTTGGTTTCACATACTATATACCAAGCCCCAAAAAATAAATAAAATATCGAGTTTGAATTATGAAAATATTTTGTGAATTCATTTTACTTTGATATGATATAAAGTATTATGGTATACTTAATTAAGTCTGGACAACTAGATGAGTTTACTCGAAGTTTGATATGTTTGTGTTTAGTTAGGCTCAACTGGATTCAATTTTTTGATTAAAATTTAGCTATTTAATTCAAGCTCGATTATATTTTGATTGAGTTCGATTGTGCTTGGCTTAACTCGACTCGATATTGTAAAAACTTTGATTGAGCTTGAATCGCATCTAAACCTTTTCTTAACTATGTCTCACTTAATTAGACTTTACTAATGATTTTTTGAATTTTTAAAATATTAATCAACATATTGAGAAAGTACAATAAAATCCAATTTTCTATAGTACAAACATTTAAAATCTTTTTAAAAGTCAATAGTCAAACAAAAAAATTGACTTATTCCACAAAAAATCAGATTAATCAAAATTTTAAAATAAACGAGATTAATATCGAGTTAAATATACTCACTCAAAAAAAGAATTTGAATCTCTCATTAAAGGAATTTCTCCTATTACTCAAAGTCACATCCTTACCTCATATAAAGTATGAATTTCTTTGATAGAAAATTAAAAGGGTACAAGTTTCATATTTAAGTTATATGACACAACTCACAATTAAAATAATGAAATAATAATAATAATATAAATGCAAAAATTAATCACATTAGGGGTTGTTAAAAACACAACAACTAAGTTCTTGCAGATTAATTGATGTTAAAATATATAGAGAAATTAGAATAATTACTCAATTTAAAAGAATCTAATGATGATCCAAATTGGGATTTGTTAATTTTAGTCTGCTTTACTAAAGATATAGTGTCTAGATTGGAATCATTAACATAGTGCTAAAGCTTGATATATAACCAATAATTAAAAGCTATTTTCAATTAAAAAATATAGGATAGGGGCCACAAAGGAACAACATCAATGAGCTCTTATACCAATGGCATAGGTGACTATGATGTTCTCAAATTTTTTTTTGCCACCTTTTCCCCTACTTTTTCTTACCTATAGCTAGTGATTAAAATATATAAATGAGTATAGTTAAACAAAGGGATAATAGCATTTTGAATTTTGAAATTGTAATATCTGACTAAGCCCATTTAATTTATAATTAATTAAAATGTGTTTTTTTCCTATATAAAAATTATGTTATAATTGAATTATTTTTAGAATTATAATCAAATATCTCTATAATAACGTTATTTATTTGAATAATTTTTTATGCTATAACACAACATACAATATAACATAATATGAAAATTATTTTAATGAAAAACTTACTGTTATAATGAAATATTATTATAGAGTATGATTGAAATAGAGTGATTTGACGGTATACTGCCAATGTGAAGTAATTAATTGTACAAGTTTAACATAATACGTATGTAATTACATGGTAAAATGAATAATAAACATCAGAAACAAGGGATAAAAATGCATATTTCAATCAATTAAAACAAAATATGCTTAATCATAAGATATTACAACAACCAAAATCAGAATTTATTCATAATTGAAATGATAAAAAAATTATATTAACTCTTTTTAAACAAATAAAAGATCAAATAAATGAAATAATAATTTTAAAAAAAATATAAAGACTTTTTTATCCAAGATTCAAAACCTTGTGGTTTCTCTTATAAAGTTAACTTTTTTACTAGCTGGTTATGAGCCCCACACACACTAATTTACTCATTATATTTTCCAATATATATTATATAAAAATTTATTGCAAGATCAGCATGCTTGGGATCCTTGGACCATTGATCTTTTCTGGCATTTTTTTTTTTTTTTAAATCACAGGACTTAATTATTACTACTATTTGTTAACATCCAATGAATCTATATATTTGAGAGCAAGCACAGAATTTGATAACATTTTAAAATGGTTTGTGTTATGATCAAAAGGATCTTGTGATGTATAGTCTGTTTTTACACTCATTGCCTATGAAAAAAATATGATTTTATTCTATGTTTAATATTTGTGTTACTAGCTAGCTAGTTCATCAATTTGATATCTTATATGTGTCAATATGTTGTTTTTTGGCAATTGGTTAGGTATAAATATGTTATTCTTAGATAGGTATACAATTGTTTTTATGTTTTTATGATAAGAAATGAACTCTGAGTTTAGCTTAATCTTAAAAATTAACTCATAATTTGAGATTTTTCAACGCCTCACGAGGAAGCAAATTACCTTAAAAATTAATGGAACACCCTATTTGGTCATTCCATTTAATATGTACCAACTTTTATCCAAAAAGTTTAACTGAGACCCAATGTATACGTAACTTCAAATAAAACTGCTTCTCTTCCTCTTCTTTTTTCTCTTAGCTATTGTATAATAATATTTTTTTTTCATTAAAGGAATTGAAGTATAATATTTTAAAGAATTAGATCTTCAATTTCGAATACGAAAAGTAAATTTAAATCGAGATGGTGTTGTTAAAAAAGCTTGAAAGCATTGGCAAATCACTATTCTTTGCAAAATGAATTGTTAGATTTGTTGTTATTTTAACAAATTGATGATGAACTTTGATCTTTGTGATTTTTGAAACTTACATTTTACATTTTAGATAAATTTAGGTGTTGAATTGTGTGATGGATAGTTTAAATTCAAAGAACAAGTTGCTATTTCTAAAAAAAAATTGTTCATTTGAACTTCACGCTAAAATGCTTGAAGTGCAATCAGATATATGTATGATCAACTTCGTGTTAAAATGTCTCAAGTGTAGTCATAATATGTTTGAAGTTTAGTATTTTCAAGATCATAATTTCAATAAAAATATTTGAAGTTTGTTCTTAACAAGGCTACATTTTAGACAAAAGATATCTAAAATTTGCCAAACTTCAAGCACAACTTGTATGAAATAATTTCAACTTATGGTATATTTATATATTATAGAAAATTAACTCAATTACAATTTAAATGACAATCCCAAAATAAGGTATATGTGTCAATGTCAAAGTGAAACCAT